GTTACTTAAAAAACTACATAATCATTAATTTTGAAAAACAATTAAACTGAAATTTAAATATATTCTTTGAAAAGTTCTATGTTATTATTACAATGGGGAATCCATTGAAGTAGGTGTGTTCAAATCGAAGTGGGCGTTTTTGTGAAGGTAGGCGTGTTCACATCACGTCTAGGTCACCACTTATCTTTGGCGATATAGGTTGCTTGTATTGAATTCTGCATTTTAAATAGGTCACTCGTCAAAGATAAAAAAAGAGAAATGCGAATTGTAAGCATAACTTTAATAATATTTTAGCAACTAAATTAAAAATATCAGGATTATAATCAATTACGTAGGACAAAAGAACCTATGTAAAGCAAACGCGAAAGAGAGGAAGAACAAAAGTTTACTATTATATATATACATTTCATTCAATTGAAATTCAGTTCAGTTCATTATACTTCAGGAACTGTTTATATATAAATTCAGGTTACACTACAGAGAATACATTGAATGTACATAGAAGTTTACAGGTTCGCCAGGTCACTAACTTTGGTACTTGAAACTAGTATGTTGATTGCACCACACTCTGTTATTCTAACTAACTAGTTTATTGAACTGTAAAAAATTCCGGATTAAATTACGGTATAAAGTATCACCACTTTGAGTGTATCATCCATATAATTAATTTTACCGTTAAATATTATCTCGTAATTTTTACTATAATATTTATTTAATTTGAATAACTTAGTGATTTTATAGTAATTATTTCCGTAAAAATGACGGTATAGTGATTTTTCATCCCATAGCATGCTCTGATTAAAATGAATTTTAATGTAAAAAGTTTCGGTGCTTGGAGTGCCATTTTTTTTTACCGTAATTTGATCCGGAATTTTTTTTAATTGTGCACTAACTAAAGAACGATTTCAATGCATTAAAACTTAGTACAAAATTTCAAAAAAAAAACCTTAATATTTTAATTAATTTTTTCACCATATACAGACATCTTAATTATAACTAAATATTAAAAGCAAAATCCTTTCGCTCAGTATAGATATTTAAAGATAGGTGCGTCAATATATTAACTTTTATTTCACAGTTCTGAAAAAATATTTATAATCTTAAAATATGTTAAAAAAATGTGTGAAGTGTGAAATAAGCGCATCTCTTCTATAACTTGCATACGCTTAAAAAGCAACTAAATATCTATTTTTTAGAACTCAATAAAGAACATTGCCAGAAATTCCGAATCAAATTACGGTAAAATGTACCGGCACACAAGATGTCGTCACTTTTTATAGTAAAATCCATTTTTATATCTAAATTTTACTAAACAAAAGATCTGATATGCCGTAATTTTTACAGTAATATTATGAAATTACTGAATCTCTGTAGTTAAATAATTATTATTGTGAAATATGCGGTTAAAAATTTTACGTTAAGAATGGATTTTATGCTACAATTAATTTCAAAAATGTATCCTGAATGCTGATATTTCTTACTGTGATTTGGTCTCGAATTTTTTACAGTGTACCTATTGCGAAGTTATTTTTGTCCATAGTTTATAACGAGAAAAAGTTACATTTTTAAATGCATTCGCGATGATTTTTTTTCTTTTTGCACTACCATAAATAATTTGCTCAGGGAAAAAAATGCAGTCAATTATTTTACACAAATATTTGAAATAAGTAAATTTTTATTAAAATCTTTAGAAAAAGTAAAGTTATAGGTATCATAATGATTTTCGATTTTAACAGTAAGCATGAATAATTTCTAGAAAAAAAATCTTTGTAGGCAATGAATTTATTCCTTGTTTTTTTTAAATAAGAAAAGTTATTCAATGGAATTAGTTCAATTTTTCTATGAAATTGCTAAACAATTTGCCGAAAAAATCCTATTTTTATATATTCTGTTAATCGAAAGTGACCATGCTAATATCTCAAAATTAAGCTTTATCATTAACTTAAAATAAACATACATCATCTGATTTTGTTCCGTTTTCCCTCTGGCAAGAATTCGTCCCTGCAAGGTTTCTTCAAATTTACAACAGTATCTGTCTTTGTTCTGACAGCTCGCTGACAGCGGATAAGAGGCCGTACTCGAAATCTCAATCGTAAATGACTTTGACATTCGGCAGAAATCCTCCCAAGAAAAACTTGCCGGGCGCTTTTTTTTTTCTTCCACAAGACGCACCATTATTATAAAGATTTTGAATTCTTTGTTGAATGTCGAGTGGCAATGTTGTTTGTAACGTAATAATGTGCTCTTTTGAGATAAATTTGGAAGATTTTTCTGATCGATATCAGCGTGTTGGAGTTACACAAATATTGCTTTTTGTCGTAAAAGCAAAGTGCTGCTTGAGTTGAATAATACTCGTGTTGTCGAACTTTGCAACTTATATTAGGGTCCTGACTTCCAACACAGGCACATGGCGGAAACTTTAATTACTAAAATTATTGAATAAAAAAAACAAAAAGGTTTGAAAACGAAAGACTTTTTTTCGTCAAAGAAAATGTTTTAGCTCAGTTGCTTTATTTTTAAATTGCAGAATACATTTTCGTGGTATCTGCATTTTAATCAATTTTACCTAGTACTACATTCAATTTATTCTATAGTTTTCATGAGTTCCGTCACAGTGATCCTATATACATAGAAGGGGGTATAAATTAATATTTAGGTACAGAAAAATCAAAAGCAAAATATGATGAATCACTAATGAAAAAGGTAGAAAAAAATCAGTTTTATGGCCGGGGGAAATGGTTTGTTGGCATTTCCACACTGAGAAGGAAAAAAAAGTATGGTCCTAACTACCAGGATATGGTAAATTTTTCAGTTTTTTGGCTCTATAGGAACATCAAAACAATCGGTAATATTTATCGAAGTGCTTTAGTAATGATTTTGGAAAAAATAGCAATAAAATTTAATTTTATAATATGTGATAAAATGTAGTAATTTGATCATAGAATAAAAACCTTAGAACATAGAATAAAAACCATTTCTTTGGTTAAATTTGCTTTTCAGTTCTGCATACTTTTTGTGGTAATAAGAACTATAATTTCGAAAACCAGAATTTCTTTCTAACCGTTATTATAAAGAACTTTAAAATTACCAAATGAATAATTTAAATGCCGTTTATTTTCATTTTATTAGCTAGATAATGTTTTAATTATCAGAAATATTTTTACAATAGCGTACGGTAATTTTACCAAAATTTTTTTCTCCGTGCAATAATCACCTTACAACTCCACCATGTTTCCTCCGACAATCAAATAAGTTTTCATATTTTCAGTCTCGCCTTTCTCTATAGTTATTCCTTATATTTCTCTTGTTTACTTTTTTTTCCGCTTTGCTTTAATTTTAATCTGCGGCTCCTAATAAATTTACTTTTTTGGCCTTTTTTCATAAGAATTCTTAAAATAAGTATTTATTATTATTTTTTATTATTTTATTATTATTATTATTTTATTATTATTATTTTATTATTATTATCATTATTATTTTATTATTATTATTATTTTATTATTATTATTTTATTATTATTATCATTATTTTATTATTATTATTATTTTATTATTATTATTTTATTATTACTATTATTATTATTTTATTATTATTATTATTTTATTATTGTTATTATTATTATTATTTTATTATTATTATTTGTTATATTGCTATTATTATTACTATTATTTATTATATTACTTTTATTACTTTTTATTATTATTTTATTGTTATTTTCGTATATATGCAGTTTTTTTTACGGAACAACCTTCAGGAAAGTCTATTCTTATTGAGTTATATTTAATAATTTGTGCATGTGATCACAAAAATAAGTCTCCATGTGCAACCTGTCGATAAAATCGAAAAAGAAGACTTGGTAATTCAATTCGTTGAAGCACATCTTACTGTTTGAGTATTCTCGATCCTGAATCCGACCAAATATTAGTCACGTATACGCACGAATTGCTCATGCTTTCAACATTTAGTAGTTTCCAAGGCAATTCAAGCGTAAGAAGTGAAAATCTTAAATGTTTTTAAGGCAAATGTAGTTGTGAATTGGAACAATGAGGCGTTTATCACGTCCTCTAACCAGACTTAATTACATAACAATAATAGTGAAGCCTCTAAAAGTAAACCCTACACTGCAAAAAGTTTTAGTGTATAATTGAAACCACTTTTGGTGTTGAGATAAATTAAATGCATTTTTACTTACAGAACTGTAATTACGGTGCAAAAAATTATATAAAATCCCCAAAATAATAATTGTTTGAAAGAATTAGTGCGAACATACTACTGAAAATGTGTTTAAACACGAAACCTGTTTTTTAAACGAAATTTTTTGCAATGAAGCCGTTAAGTTGATTCTAATGAGCAGTAAAATGTGCTATTAGTAAAGAAAAAGGGGAAAAAATTGAATTATTAAATAAATAAAACTATAACAGAGAAAAAGTAAATAAAATGTAACCATTTTTTACAGCGTATAAAAAGGTGATAATCTTGCACAGTGTAAATTTTAATTCATCTTGAAGACTGCCAAAGGAAAATGATCTATGAATCTATAATCATTGACATATTTAAAAGACAAAGGTGAAGGGCGTACTTTTTACGTTTTGAAAACATTGAACATTTATTTTTAAATTTTTAAAACTTAACTATATGAAAAAACACAAAGAATGTCAGATAAGCAGGCAATGTTACATAATCACTAGAATGTTTAAGTCGCATTATTTCTCCTTTTTGTTTCTTTTTTAGTCGTTTAGTTTTATTTGCCTATGACACAAATTCATCCCTTTCTACACTTACATTTATATTTTAATTTATGTGCATTTTATTTTATGCTAATTGTTTACTTTTATGGATTAATAACCTTTCAATATCTAAAGTTTATTTCTTTATACTTAAAGTATTGGAAAGGGGAAAATCATGAGCAAAATTCTGCGTATAAAGTTGTAACAAAATTTGTAGCAAAAGATTGAATAAATTTAAAGCCTAAGACCTTAAATGCCTTATTTTTATTTCAGTTGCTTGGGGCTATCATAGACAGGGTTATTGTCAAGCAGGATTTTCAGTTGCTGTGACTAAAGTAAGAAAAAAAATTCTTTATTCTACAGAATCATTTATTTATTTTTATCTATCTTCTTCTATATAACTTTTCTCATATATTCCTCCTATTATTTATCAAATTCTTAAAACCATTATTTTTCTATAAACATCTTCAAATCAATATTTTTTTCAAAAGACATGCATTTGCAATTTTAAAAAACTAGTTATTTTGCCTAATTGATATACATTTCTTAGGATGGCAGGCAACTTTTCATTGGTTCCCCCGGAAGTTGGTACTGGCAAGGTAATGATATACATTATTTTATTCCCAAAATTTAAGTTTTAGGCGGAAATTTCTTGACAGATGGCGATGTATAAAGTAAGGACTGTAAATCGAAATAATAATAATAATAATAATTGAAAATTACATCAAAATATTTCAAAATCTTTTATTAATGAGGCAATCTTTTGTTATAATCTTCGTGCGAGATTGGCAAAAGCACCAGAAAGAACAATAGAAGGAATCTTTAGCGCTATCTATCGAAATTTTTTTTAACTAAAATGAAAAACTTAAGGCTTAAAATTTATGCCTTATCAAAGTTTTCAGCAGGATTTTTTTTACGCTAATCGTTTTCCTGTTATATATATTTGAAAACTGTCAAGCTAATTTAGGATACTCTGTATTTCTATCATAGTTATTTTTTCTTGTAGTTGTAGTTTTTTAACAGTCGCATAAATTAGTTTTTATTTAAATTAGTCCCTTATTGTTTGCTAATTTTATATATTATAAATTTTTGTGAGTACCTTTCTATTAAGAATGAATACAATTTTATTAATTTCTTAATTACATACGACATACCTTAATTCTTATTGTTTTGAAAATTGAAAAATATCTATCTACTTACTTGCAAGAATTAGTAAAAAACTATGTGAAGTAGATTAACTTTATATTATGTTTTAAAAACTTTTATGAGAATATTTAAACCAATAATTTATCGATGCAGTTTTTAGGAAATATCGTAATCCCAAACGGATTCAGGAGAAATTCAGTACACGAAACTACTTCGATACAATATAGAATAGATAAATCAATGATACTTGTAATACCATATCTTTCTAAAGGCAAACCTTACTTTGTATTGATGATAATTATTGATTATGATATTTGATGATGATTGTTTTTTTGTTTTTGCTTCTGCCATTAACTAATTTTATAATTTTAGATCCTAAACTCTTACTTGATAATAAAATAACTTAGTTCATTGAATATCAGTAATAAATTAGTCTACTGAATATCAATAATAAATTAGTCCATTAAATAACTCATCTGAAAAGTCACGTCTTAGAAAAAAAGTAAATTCCTTATCGAATATGAACCTAATTGGATGTCTGCAATGTGACACCATTATTAATAAATTCTGACATTCGTCAATTCAGAAGCCAATCAAGAACGCCACACACGTCTGACGTCTCTAACAGGTATCCAATTAAATCATTTTCAAATCACATCGGTAGGCATAATCACTTTACTTCTTCTGAGTTTGCAAGTATCCAATTAAAATAGTTATTTTGCTTACTAACTTTTTCTACAATAGTTTCTATGAAGAACATAATTTAATCGAAACAAATACAATTTATTATTTTTATAATCGAAAATCATTAAATCCAATAAAATTGTACAAAATAATAAATAAAAAATCAAATGTATTAGATTTTCACGTTTTTACATCTAAATTACAACATGATACCTGACTAATAATTTCTTGAATCTATAAATGGAGAATGTAAGTTAAATTTAAAACTACATCTTTTTAGGTCAGCTGTATTCTCAAGATTTACTATCGAAAGATATGCTGCACGGTACTCCAGAAGGACCTGCAGAGTTTGATACCAGCTATCTAGGTAAGATGTGTAGAAATATATTTCGTTTTAACTTCATAAAATTAAATCTCAGCTAGATGTAATAAAATTCTAAAGAATATCATTAGATGGTCATTCAATCGGGTACAGGATACTCGCTATACCTCAGAATTCATTTTTTACTATTTAAATAGCATTTAGCCCTTTTTTTTAAATTCTGTAAAAAGTAATTTTGGTGGTGAAAAATGAATTCGATAGTGCTAAGTCATGTAGACATTCTTTTACAAACTATAGAAACCCTCCTTCAAAAGTCGTAGAGGCACTTTTAAACATTCAAATTCAAGGTGTACTGACATACTGACAGAAAATATTTGGTTTTTGGTTTCATATAAAGGAGAGTTGCCATAATCTTTTCCAAATCCTACCACCTCTGATTTCTGAAGAATCATTGTAAAGATAATGCTCTAGCAAATAAATTTAGAAGCTTTTTTTTTACGTAAAGATCCGTGCAGAAAAATCATATCACCGTTGCGTTAAATTAATCAGTTTTTTTTAAGTTTCCAATCTAATTTTTGAATATTCTGTGTAAGAACATTAGAGAACTAAAGTAATGTACAGATTATTTAATACATCATATAATAAAGTAACTTAACCTTTTATATTCTACATGTTTGTTTGCTAGCTAATCATTGTTTGATGCTAGAAATAGTACTGTTTAAAACGTTGCGCAGTTGCCTAAATCGTACCAAAGTTTACTATGAACAGCAAACCATTTAAACCTTACTTAACGGTTGAAATCTAAGAAACTGATGAGAACTACTGTTGAAAACACTATTGAGAACTACTGTTGAAAACACTATTGAGAACTGCTGTTGAAAACTGAGAGAGAAAATGAGAAATATTTCGGGACTAACTTTTAACCATTACTGAATTTTCCATCTTGTACACTGAGAAAAAAAGTATACTGAAAACTACCGGAATGTTGTAAAATTTACAGTGTTTCTGGCTCGATAGGAACACCAAAAAGCTCGGTAATTTTTACTGTAAAGCTTTAGTAATGATTTTGGTAAAATTAGCGATAAAATTGCTATACAAAACTAAGCAAGGTTTGGGTTCATATATTTCATGCATTTCTTAAATTTTCTCCATACAACTATATTATATTTTATCCATAATAAAAATTTTCTGGTATGGATATTTCAACATTGATAACCTTTTGTTGGATTCCATTGATTTTTAACATTAGATTTTTTTAAATTGTAAATTTATTGCTTTCAACGGAATACTCGTTATCAAAAGTTTAAATGGATTAATAAAAACAAATTTTGACAACACATGCTTTTCAAAGACGAAAACAAAATAGTTTCATTAATAATTCTTTCTTCCAAGCTATTTTGTTCTAATACTTGATTCCTGATTTTCCTCGTCTTCTGCGTTGAATTTAAACTTAAACAGCTGAGTAGCTAGTCTGAAAACTTGCTGTATTGCTTACTCATTAAAACTTTCAATAATTGATTATTCATTAACTATGTAAAACATTTCTGTCAAATATGACTCAGTTCAGACATGAACATACTTTTACATATGCATGTAGCTGCAGTATAATTATATTCTACCATTATGCATGTGTACAATGCTCAACTTAAAATTCTGTCGTATTATCTGGCTTGCATTTTAACTACACATCTATAAATTGGTATTCTCTTGCGTTAATTTTGCATTTTTTTTAAAAGTAGATAATAATAAATGATTTTGTAACTTTTTTATTCTTTGAATTATTTTATGAAAAATTTTCGGAGTTGAATCTGAATCGACTTTGACTACAGTAAAAAATCTCTCCAGATGATATACTCGTGTTTGTATTACAGGATATTCTATGGCTATTGGTGAATTTACTGGTGACCGAAGTCCTGATATAGTTGTTGGAGTACCTCGAGGAAATCGACTCACAGGAAAGGTAGGTCAATCAACAACTCACCACTCATCAGCAACTCACCTACAACTTAATTATAGATAAATTGGTACATCAAATCGGACTTGGTTTAGCATATAAAATGTATATTTTAGGTTTGCTTGTTCAACTCGACTATATACAATCTTATTAACATTTCTGGCGAGCAACTGGGATCATATTTCGGTTACTCCGTGTGTGTTGTTGATGTCAATGGAGACAGGTAATTTACAGATTATATCACAGTAAAAGTTTTTTCCATCGTCTTTTTAATTATTCTCTGTCGCTTAAAATTTTTCATTATTTAACCAATAATAAAACAATAAATCCGAAGCTACCAAATTAACACAATTTTGTTATTTAGAAATGCGTAAACAATTTTATATCATGTAAATTGTTTATGCATGTAAGAATTAACATGAATATAAAATTGTTTTAGGTAAACAATTGCAACAAATTTTGGTAAAATCTTAGTATACGTAAAACGCTTAGCACGATATTGAAAAATATCGCAAATGCAAAATGGTGATAACCTACCGAGTCTCGCTAAATCTACAACTAAAATATTGCAAACTTAATCACCCTTCAAAACATCACCAATGTCGCTAAAATCCACCGAGTAAAGTGTTCTAGGATTAAGCTCAATTATGAAGAGATTACAAACATCTTCTTAAACTATTATATCAACACAATTTATAAATAAAAATGCAAAAAAAAGTTATTTTAATATTCAAAATAATAGAAACAGACGAGGAACACAATACAAATATCAAGTTTGAAGTAATTTGATTCTTACCATTTCTTAAATTTACTTTAAACTGGAGAAACAATTAACACTTTAACAATGATAATGAATTTGTGTTGTCATCTTTGAATATAAAAATACAAATTAAGCACCAATTATAGTTAAAAAAATAAGAAGATATGTTAAAAAAAATAGAAAGTTTGTAACTCTCGAACACTTATTACTTTAAAAAAAAAAATTTTTGTAATTTAAAAAGATGAATTAGTTTATAGAGAATAAAAACTTTTAAAATACGCTTAAGAGAGACAGTCATTTTTGTCTTGTTCCTATTTCGAAATTTCATTTCGAAAAGTTTTATTAGTTTTTAAAAATTTTAATGCAGGAGACTTTGAAGCATAATTTACGTAACATAATACATCTCTCAGATGCATTACTATAAATATAAAGTATTTATAAATTATTATCATTATCATATATATCTTAGTCTTGTAGACTGATTATGTAATGTATTTAAGGTTAGATGACATCATAGTCGGTGCACCATTCTATACAGATTTGAAAGCCAAAGATGGAAGCTATGAAAAAGGAAGAATATATATCATTCATCAAACGAGAAAAGTATGCCTTTTAATTTTTCATAAATTAAATTTCAAAAAATAATTTTTTAAAAAATCACAGTTAATGTTATTGTAAAGAAACTTACCGTAATACCATTTTAATTAAAAAGCAAGAAGTTTACAAGATTGTAACGAATTTAAATGATATCATAACTGAATTGTATTTTTACCAGTATAAATTATTTTTCAGCACAACTTTCGCATTCGTGGTCATATTGATGGTGCTTACTCTGGAGGTAGATTTGGTCTATCCCTTGCTTCCCTCACTGATATTAACAGGGACGGCTATGGAGGTAAAACTAACTTTTAAAAACTTTAACGGTTCTCTGTGTGTATAACTCAAATTTAATTATTTGATGATGCTCAAAATTTCTATATAAACTTTATATATACCCACATTGCAGAAAATATTTTTGATCAAATTACGATAAATAAACCGGCATTGAGGGTGCCAGTAGAGTTGATGTAAGAGTTAGATTAATCATCATGCCGTCTGTAACATTAACTCAAAATTAGTTTTCTAAGACTGCCATACCTTAGTTGTGATACCTGAAAGGAAATATTTCTAATTTATTTTTAAAAACAAGCATTGAAACAAAAAGAAAATTATAAAAACGATTTCAAAAGTACACCTTTTATTTACAAATAAAAAATCAGGATCAAATTATGATAAAAAAATACTGGAACTCAGGTTGCCGTTATAGTTGATGCAAAAGTTTCATTAATCGATGCGCCATCTGTAACATTAACTCAAAATTAGCTTTCAAATTTTGCCCTAGAAGCGTTGTGATACCTGAATGGAAATAATATTTCCTATTTAGTTTTAAAAACAAGCATTAAAATTGAAAGAAAATTAAAAAAGCGATTTCAAAAGTGCACCTTTTATAATATATATATANACCCATATATATATATATATATATATATATATATACACGTAATCTCATTAAAAGAGTTCTACGTAATACGTCGAACTCTTTTAATAAGATTCCGATATTTTTAATAAATGGACTGTTCATTTTCGAGAACTTTATAAATTCGCTGTTACTACAAACATAACTAGAACTCAGGGAGAAATTTTACATCTGAATTGTATTGCATTGAAACTACTTTTAATGAATACTATTGTTTTAATTTATTATTTTTCAGATGTAGCTGTTGGATGCCCGTATGGTGGAAACGATGGAAAAGGAGTCGTATTTATTTTCCACGGGAGTGCGTCGGGGATCGTGAATAAGCCATCGCAAGTAAACAAAGATTATTGTAATATGTTTCTCTTTATCTTAAACAAATTTATTGCATTTAAGTTTCTGTTACTTTCGCACATTCAGTAATTACTATTATTAGCAAATGGTGCTTTTGAATCCAGCATAAGGAAGAGTAACAAAACATTTGTATGTCCGTGTCTATGTAACCGCTAAAACAGAAAAACAACTAGTGTGCCCAATACCTAATTAATCCGCAGATTTATTACGGTGATTCGTTAAAGTTCGGATTCAAGAGTTTTCTGCAGGGTAATGTGCACATGAGAGCCTTCAGTATCGCTGTGTTTAAAAGCGTTGTTTCTCTTATTTCCCTATTTCCTTCTCATTTAGTTTTGCCATTGTCTTGTCGTCATCGGCCTTCTTTTCTTTCACGATTTTTTTTTCAGCAAAGATCTTATTTTCTTTTCAACTAGTGTCTACTGCACTGTAAAAATTCCGTATCAAAAGACGATAAAAAGTACCGGCGCTCAGGAAACCGATATTTTTACCGTAAAAAAGCCATTTTACCGAATCCATTAGTCAGATAAATCCATTAGTCGGCTAAAATCCTTTTTTACCGGAACATGTTACGGAACAAAAAGACTGATATATACCTTAATTTTTACAGCAAAAATTACCGTAAAATTGCTGAATCACTTTAATTAAATAAATTTTACTGTTAAACTTACAATAAAAGTGGATTTTAAGGTTGATGTTTCCAAAGTGCCGGTACTTTATACTTCAATTTGATCTGAAATTTTTGCAGAGCCTGTAATATGCAGATTATCTACGAAGTTAGCAGATTATCTAGGAAATTAGCAGATTATCTGAGAAACAATTTTCTACACTTTAACGGGTCACCCGTATTAATTTTCACACTGCAGCGCAATAACCTGATTTCTGCATTTTAGCGGTCACATGTGCACTTGGTTCTGAGTTACCGTACTGTAAAATCTTACGTATAGCATTAATCAATGTCTACAAGTAGAACACCAGTAAAACATGACATGTGATAAGAGTTTATAATGTGAAGTAGAATGTACCGATATATTTTAAATTGCTGTCGAAGTCTAATCTTGGCTTCTTTGTTTTTTTACTGTATTCAGCGAATTTTGATGTTAACTCTGCAAGTCAGTTATCTTTATTTGGCGCATAACTAAACTAAACTGATAAACAGGTGAGCAAAAGTGTATAAGAAAATTTCTAAACTGAATTGATGAACCAAATTATTAAATGTTACAAAACGTCCGAATAAAATAAAATTTAAGCAATTTTTTATTCATAAAAATGCATTCTAAAATTTTAAATGAAGCAAATTTTTAACCCAACTGCTTGAATGGTGGATACTTTAGTCTATGGAAAGTTATCAAAACACAAAAATTATTGCATCACCGATCAAAACTAATTATCCCGAAATTATGAAATAAATATATTTACTATAAAAAACAAAATATTTCTAGTCAAAGGATACAAAACTTCTACTTAAAGTAATAACAATGATGAACACTTCAATTAAAAAGAAGTATAGAATTTTCGTTATAGATAGTTAAAATAACTTTTTTATTAATTAATCTCCATGTCTTGAAAAAAAATTTCAAATTATAAATTTACATTGTAGGCCTGTACAGATAGAAAATATTCATTAAACTAAATAGGTATTCCGCCTCTTTAGTTTACAAATATCCGTAATTTTTTTAACATTTAAGAGGCTCGGGGCAGCGTAATAATGAGTCACAATTTTCATTTCTGTTAAGATGTGACCTGATATGATGTTTCTATGCATTGTGCACAAAAAAATATCACTTTTGAAAAAGTTTGTCTTACCATTGTATTTCTTCATAGGAGGGTTGCTATTTATATTTCTGGCCTTGGTAACAATAAGTGTTGCTAGGCGACCGCAGACGATTTTAATCGAAAGTTTGATATTTTTAAACATAAATTCAGCAGACGATTTACCATTATAGCTTCATTTGTGTTGTTGACAGTAAATTGAAAAGTTCTTCTCTTTCAAAAAATGGAATTGAATCGTGAACATTTTCGTGCCATTATTTTTCATAACTTTCGACGTGGATTGTCAAGACAAGAGTGCTTCGATGAACTTAATTCTTTATTCAGCGATAAAGCGCCATCCTACAGCACTGTAAAAAATTGGTATAACGAATTTAATCGTGGTCGATGTTCGATCCAGGACGAATCCCGTGCAGGTCGTCCAAAATCCGTTGTTGTGCCAGAAAAGATCGATGCTGTGCGTGAACTGATAAAGCAAGATCGTCATGTGACATACCGTGAGATAGAGGCGTCTTTGGACATTAGTATGACTAGCATCAATAAAATATTGCATGAACATTTGAGCGTAAAAAAAATTTGTTCGCGTTGGATCCCGCATAATCTGACAAACGCTCAAAAAAAGGCTCGTGTCGATTGGTGCAAGGAAATGTTGGAAAAATACGTTCAAGGTACATCAAAGGCTGTGTATAACATCTACACAGGTGACGAATCATGGATCTATGCATATGAGCCGGAAACAAAACAGCAATCAACTGTATGGGTCTTCCAAGACGAGGCAAAACCAACAAAAGTTGTTCGAGGAAGAAGCACATCGAAACAAATGATTGCCTGTTTCTTCGGCATTAACGGTCATGTGGCAACAGTGGCGTTAGAGCAACGCAGGACGGTCAATTCTGAATGGTACACGACCATTTGTTTGCCAGAAGTCATCGGAGAAATTCGAAAAAAGCAGAAGAACAGGCGAATCATTCTTCATCATGACAATGCGAGCTCTCACACATCGACTCAAACAAAGGCATTTCTGACGGAGCGAAAGATCGAACTGATGGGTCATCCGCCGTACAGCCCTGATTTGGCACCCAATGACTTCTTCTTATTCCCACACATCAAAAATAAATTACGTGGACAACGATTTTCGACCCCCGAGGAAGCGGTTGATGCTTCAAAACGCATGTTTTTGAGTTACCTCAATCGGACTGGAAAAAGTGCTTTGAAAAATGGTTCAAACGCATGCAAAAGTGTATTGATCATCATGGAGAATATTTTGAAGAACAATAAAGCCAATTTCGATCCTACATATTTGTTTTTTCATTATTAGGCCAGAAATATAAATAGCAACCCTCGTATAGCTGATTATTGATATTTAAAGTAAAAAGTGTATAAAAAAGCAGAAACGAAGAAACCAACTATACTACTTTTTTGTCCAACTTTCATCGCTTATGCTTACATAATCAAAAACTTTTTTTCTTTCTTAACAGGTTATTTTTTCATCTGATTTACCAAGATCTATGGCTACATTTGGATTTTCTATTGCAGGAGGAATGGATCTGGATAATAACGAATACCCTGGTAAAATATTTCCCAGAGTTAAATTAAAATGTTTAATTTTTGTCCATTTAAAATTAATAAAATGTGATAATTTAAAAAGAGTAAAAAAATGAAGAATAAAAATAAGTAGATAAAGAAAAAAAAAGAATAAAAATAAGTATAATTAGATTTTAAAAAGAGTTCCTGTTTAAAAACTATTAAATAAATAATCTGATTTAAAAGTTATGTTTACATTTTCAGATCTTTTAATTGGAGCGTATGAATCTGACACGGCAGTCTACCTCAGGTAATTTTTTCAATTAAATTATTTGAAAAATTAAACTGACTGGTTATTTTTTTGGAAATATTTACAGACTAAATTAAAGATTATATTATTCAATATTATCATATTGTCCTTATCTAGGCGTAGTGATTTACTTGCGTTAGATCATTTTCTTAAGCACTTATTCTAATAAAAATGATTTGAAATTCAATTGTTTTAAATTTTACAATTGTCTAGAAGTAACACTTTTCTCTATAAATATTGAAAAATAGTAAGTGCCAACACCGTTTTTTGGGGTATTCAATTTTGTGTCATACTTTGTTTTTCTGAGCAAAACCGATCTGAGAAACTTCATTCACCAGAATTAATTTTTTTTACAAAAAATGTCATTACATTACAGTGCAGTAGTTTTATCAAATGTTTTTTCTATGTATAGCACTTTAGTATTATTTTTCGAAATTAATAACTTTCTTTAATTTACAGATCACGGCCAGTTATTCAAACAAGCGCTTCCCTTAAAATAACTCCAGAACAAATCAATCTAGATGAAAAAAGCACCACAAGTTGTGAGCTTTATGATAAAACAATAGTTTCTTGGTAAGCTTCTCCTAGTCTTATAATTTTTCTAAAAATATCTCTTTTGCCATGTAGAAATACCATAATTAGCTTCCTTTCATGAGGAAAATTTTCAGTTTTTACAAAATTTAAAATATCCATTGCCTCTATTTGCTTCTTCAACTTTAAAAACACTTTCAAATTAATTGCAATATTTGTTTTAGGGGTTATAGGGGGGGGGAAAGAATATTTTGCGAAATTTTTTTCAATAAACAATCAAATGAATAAGATTTTTGAAATATTTTATGATGAACAAAACTTATTAGAATAGAAAAAAATATTATAATATTGAAATGAGAAGAGGAAAAAACATTTTAAATTTATTTTTTATTTTAATAATTTTAAAGCAATGCAAAACAAAATATGATCGATAAAGCGTTTCTTTAAAAATTTGTTTCTATGACTGAATTAACAGTGCCAGCAATTTCAAGTTATAAATTTTAAAAAGCTGCAAAAGTACGTCGTAAATTTTTTTTTTTCAAAAAAATTTATTTTTGTAAAAATCACACATTTTTAACTCATATCTGACTATAACTACGTCTAGAACTAAATTTGTCTTAACTATAATTATTCCTTCTAAAAACTGATACAAAAATAAACATTGTTTCACAACCTTTATTTGCTTCCATATTTCATATTCTATATTTTTAAAAAACAAAGATTTTTTCGATATTTATCTAGTAAACTTTAAGTACTATTTGCTGAAAAACTGTATATCGTAGACGATGTCGTGTTCCGAATTCGATTACTAATTAAATATTTGAGCAGAAAAATTTTTAAATTTGGTTTAAAAATGGTTAGAAGCTTTCTGTTATCACTTCCGGATAAAATAATCTTGAGCTATGCACATGATAACATAATATTCAGCACATCATGCTATCAAATGAAAGGCTTAATATCCTGAAATATTTCCCCTACATTCTTTTTAAAAAAATATTGATTAAAAGGCACTTTTTCCTATACATTTGAGCTATTTAATCACACTTAAAACATATAAAAAATACAAAGCTTGATTCAAAGTAAGAGATATAGAGAGCACAAAACCCTGTTAAATGATTATTTCTAAACTCTTAAAACTCAAATATTTCGGCTTAAAATGCAAGAGTTGAACTTTTAAATTAAGAAATGTTTAAAAAATTTAGCTTATTTTAATTTATTTCAGCGTAGTTGTTTCGTTCTGTTTGGAATTTACTGGAATAGGAATACCTCCTCACGTTGGTATGTTTAATTTATTATTACTAATATTATTATTATTATTATTGAAAAATTAATGCATTAGATCAATCAGACAAAAAATACCTCATATCGTCATTTATAGAACAATCCTTCACAAGCAATATTAGTAATAAGTTTAAATTAGAATAGAATGTTTATTTTGTCGAATGTATAAATCAAAATCAAACATTATTTCGTGTATCAGAAATAACGGCCTGGTATTTTTGTCAAATACATTTCATTCAGCGAAATCATCTTCTTTAGTTTCGAATACATGTTTCAACCGAAATATTATACAAAAGTATTTGTTCTTTGAACCAAAATATTTCGATTAGCCCTGAGTGGCATCATTCTACGCAAACAATTATCTACGAGGAAAAACTTTTGAATTGTGCTATATCAGTAGATAAAAGATGTTGTAAAACTTCCAAGTCAAATTTGTTAGCTATACGAATTTAAACACCTATAAACAAATTTTGCTTTTCAACTAGTGTGGACTTTTCTTAAACTCGAAAAAATGTACCTCAGGCTTGATGGGATATTTTTTTCTCACTCTTAAAACTCAAACAATGTCATCCTCCGCCCACCAAACTAACAGCAACTCGAAAATTTTTGAATCACTGATGTTTTGATTAAATATCGTCAAATCTCATGAAGATTTGTTTTTACAACGACAATTATAACAGAGTATCTTCAGGAAAATTTGGCAGAGAAAACAATAAGTAAAAGATGTTTTTCCGGCATCAAACGTTCATATCACGACACACAGTAAAAAATTCTGGATTAAATTACGGTAAAATCCTTTTTTACTGGAACATATTACGGAACAAATATTCTACAGTAAGATTTCCTAATCATTCTAATAAAATAAAATTACTATAAAAAAATTGGGGGTGTATATTTTACGGTAAAAATAGATTTTACACAGGATGCACCTAATATACTAACCTTATACCGGAATTTGAACCTGAATTTTTTACAGTGCACTTAAAGAGGCGAAATCAGTTTGCAGAAATAACATTTAAGCTATGCAAAATATAAGAGCTAATTTCAACATATTTTTATACATTTTAACTTAAGTAGACAATAAGCTTCAAATGACATTGAATTAGTGAATATATTATTATTGTGTTATGAAAATTAAGCTTAACTTTAAAAAATACTTGCTTTTTTCTAGCTTTCATATATCGAATGAAGTTGGATGCTGATAACAAAGCCCCAAGAGTTTTTTTCTTAACTGACGAGAATAAGAATGAACAAAATGTTTCCATACAAATTAGAAAGGAATCTAAATATTGCAAGAGCATATATGTTTATCTTAGAGTAAGTTCTTTAATCTTATTACCATAGATCTTATTATCCACGAAATTATTTAGGGAATAAAGTTATTATAAATTTATTTGAAAAATGTACCATATATCTTATTATCTATAAGAGTGTTAAAGGCTTTCGATAAATATTATAACTGTTAAAAACTATTAAAAGTTTATTTGAAAGAAAAGTACCATACATCCTTGAAACTATTATAAAAGTTCTATAAATCTATTATTATTAATTAAAAAAAGTATAAAACACTGGTTAAAAAATTGGTTCAGAAATTTTGCACGGTTTACTTCAATGATTAATTAAGATTCTATAAACCTATGCCTTGTGTTATTAATTAGTAAATTGAATTTGATAGTGTCGAAAAGCAACATTATCAATCCAAATGTAGAAGGACATGCTTTGAACTATTTAATAAATTGAGGTGACCCGGCTTCGAATCCCAGCGACGGCTGGTCCATACTAATTTCGCACCAGGCTCGCACAAACCACAGTGCTGACGTAAAATATCCTCAGGGGTAGACGGATCATGAGTTTGAGTCCCCCTGCAGTTAGGCTAACAGTGGGGGTTTTTTGTGTTCCTCTCCATGTAACGCAAATGAAGGTTAAATTCATCAAAAAGTCCTCCACAAAGGCAAATTTCTCTCAGTACTTAATCCAAAATTTCCCTTGTCATCTAGATTGTGTTCAAACTTACAGGGCTACGGAATTGAACATTGGTAACCGCAAACTCAAATTTACGTCAGCTGTTCAACGACGGTCATTAAATAAAATGTATAAGAAACTTTTTTTTTTAATTTCCAATGGCAAGGCAAAAATAAAAATGAATGAACAGGAACAGAAGTAAAGATGACGCAACAATAAATTGACCGAAGTCATTGCCTCATAAGTTCTCTGGCCTTCCAATAAAGTCCAGTCTCGGAGTCTCCCCTAAAGACTGCACAGTGGTGGAGGTGATGTCTATCCATAGGGATATTAAAGTTACAGAGGGGGCAGTAAAGGCTTTGTATAGGAAACTAAATCTAGAAAATGTGAATGAAGCTCAAACTAAGTCAAAAAAGCAGTTAAAATATAATTTTGGTTATATAAACAAAAACACAGGCAGTTCCAACCCTATATTTTGGCACTAAAGAAGATTCTTGGAAATTGAATCAGAAGTGCAGTTCACTGTAAAAATTTCCGGATCAAATTACTGTGAAAAGTATCGGCACTTTTGGTGTATCATCCGTAAAATATTTTACCGTAATTTTTACAATAATATTTGTTTAATTAGAGAGATTCAGTGATTTTACGGTAGATAGTAGTGTTACCAGATACAGTATACCAATTTAATACTCATAAAAGTTACCGTATACCAGGTTTTTTGTTCCGTAACATGCTCTGGTAAAAATGGACTCACCTAGGGTGCCGGTACTTTTTACCGTAATTTAATCTGGAATTTTTTGCAATGTCAATCTATTTTCGCGACTTTATTTTTGCTTCATTCACGTTGTCTAGCTTTATTTCTAACATTATCAAAGTTGCGAGAAATTTTAGAATTTCCAATATTAATTTTCACTGTTTTTTTATATCAGTTAATTAATATTAATACATGGAAGAAACATGGTGAAATTTCTGTAATATTCATCGGTAAAAATTTTCTAAAGATTCCTTGACAGAAAAAAAAATACGCTTTGTAGGGAAACTAAATTAGATTATTATACTGCTAGATTGTCATACAAAATATAGCTCAGTTCACAGAGAAAAAATTAAATAAGATACCTCATTGCATTTTAATTACATTTCTGGATAAAGAAAAAAATTCTGGTTAATAATGCCAAAATATTCTGCATTTGGTAATTTTTCTATTCATATGGTAACGGTTTACCGAAAATTCTAGTTCTCAAAATTATAGTTCAGGTAGTAAAGCACCTTTATTAAAAAATACACAACTGAAGAGCAAATTTAATCGAATAAATTGTTTTTATGCCATGCTCTAAAATATCAAGATAAAATTACCAAATTTTACCTCTTTTGCCAAATTTTATCGCAAACTATAAAAACGAATTTTACTGTTAATTTTACCAAAATTATTCGAAAAAACTTCGGTAAAAGTTACCGATCTCTCTGGTGTTCTCATAGAGGCAGAAAATGGTTAAATTTTATCATATTCTGGTAGTATTAATCATATATTTTTTTGAAATCTCAAAGTTTCTTTTATGTATAAAATTTAGTTAAATATCAAACCTCCTTAAATATAAATCATTTTGTATTTAAGAAGTATATTTCATATTTAAGGATTAATAAATTATTTAATTATACTATTATGTTATTGTAAAATTATTGTTACTTACTTAGAAAAAATTATCGAGTCAATTATTTTGGAAAAAAATTACCGAGCTTTTCAATGTTGTTATTGAGCCAGAAACACGATTACCATATTCTGGTTGTTTTGACATTCTCCGTGTATGGTATAATTTTAAAATGCTCCTTAAATGTTTTCTCATTGTTGAAAGCTAATTATTCGACGCATCATCGAACAACTAAATTTGTTTTAATATGTGTCATCTTTGTTTACCTCTTTTGAGATTCGAAAAGCGTTTTTCTTTTCTTTTTTCAATTTTGCTACAACTAACGAGAATTTTCTTGCCTCATTTTTATAAGGATTTTAAGCATGCATATTAAAGGTGAGGTTTAAAAGTATATGCTGTCATAAACCATATACAAATAATTGGTTTCTATTTCAGAATAATGTTAGAGACAAATTGACTCCAATAGCTGTTGAAGTTTCTTATCAAATTTATGACCATTTTCCTGACTTGCAAGAGTTAAAACCAATTTTGAATCAGAATCTCCCTAACAACTTAACAAAACAGGTAATGAGAGTTATAAGTTACCTATTAAATAATTTTTCAGCTATTTTCCTGAACCTATTGCATACAAAAAATTGTATAATCATATCAGCTGGTTACGTAACAATTAAAATAAATTAATAAAATGGATAAATGTTTTGGATCATAAGTTAGGTTTAGCTGTCTTATTGTAAATATCTTTTAATTTACTTTCAGATAAATATTCAAAAGAACTGCGGTAAAGATAATGTATGCATTCCTGACATAAAAGTGCAAGTCACTCCGTAAGTTTTTCAATTACTAAAGTGTTGTACAATTCATCATTAGCATTCTTTTTAATCCTGGATCTTTTTAATGATAATAATTTACGTAATTTTCAGAACCCTTCGAATAAAAATATATTGCTTCCTATAAATAATCGTTTATATATTCCTTTTGCCTCATTCTTTCCTTCCTTAGCAAAACCACTCTAAACTTTAATTTCCTTACATTGTGCACAATTTATTATCTAATAAGCAATCTAAAACTAAACTTATTTTTATTTCTATTAATTAGGAAGCTTTAATTTAATAAATCAATAATATTTTTTGATAAAAATCAACTTATAATAACTATTATTTTAATAGTGTGTACTGGTAATGTTATAATATAATTTTAAGGTACAATATGATGACTACTACACTGCTGAAAAAATATTGTTACATTTTACACCATGGTATCGAAAATTGTTTCGCCTCATTGTAAATAAAGCAAAAAGTTGAATCACATGACCGTGTAAAACATAGAGAAATATTACATCCCGATGCTAGAAAATGAATATAAGAATCGTGTTGCTTTAAGGCATGAAAAAATATCAACACTTTTGTCCTAGAGTCACTCTGGGTTATTGGTGATGGTCTAGGATTTATATTTAATAAGGATCTAAGGACAATACTGACGCAAGTACTCACAGCATTACTAGTATTAAAATGAAGAGCAGGTTGTGGTTGCAAAACTTACGCAAGTACTCACAACTTAACCAATGCTAAAATGAATTGCAGATGATGGTTGTAATCACTCGACCTCCTCACCACGCTACCCAACCGACAACCAATCGATCATGTGTCAATTTTCTGTTAATATTCCATTTTAATATGACATTAAGATGGGTTTCATACCTAAGACACCATCCGGGAAAATATAGTCTAATTGGCATGGGAAATCAGACCTCTGTCCAAGCCGTAATAGGTATTGACTAAACCCTCCTCATCGAGTTAGCTGCTCTAAAGTATTCAGAAATTTTTCTTGTTCATTTTTTATTCGTTTTCTTTAAATTCTAAAAATGCCTAAATTTTAATTCTTTGATAATTATAATTATTTATGACGAAGTCCGTTTTTCGTAGAGTCTAAAATAAATTTCGATTATGTAATTACATTATTTTAAAATAAATTATGACAATGAACTTCTATTTATTTTTCTTATTTTAAAATGGTCTTGTGTTGAATAATTATGCATACTCTTGAGCTTGGTATGCATGCTTAATAATTTTGAACTAACAGAGGAACAAATACAATCATTATTTTTTTATATTTATAATATAATTGATTTTCAATAAATTATCAATAAAGATCATTCTCTTCTTTCTTGATTGAAGAATTTAATCATATAGCAGAATTATCGAAAAAAAATAAACATCAGTAAATAAAATTATGATAAGAACGCTAAGTTATAGAGAGTTTTCTTTCAAATCTGCAGCACTAAATAAACATTTCTTTATTAAAATTAAGAGGGGGCATTACTGTTACTCGAGTACTAAGAAACTTTGGAAAATGTGCTTCTGGGACGTTATAGTAGAATGCCTTTGAATAAGATACAATTTCTTAAACTTTTACTCGTTATTAAGATTCAATTTAGATGAAAACTTCCCTCTACGACCCATTTATTGTAAAGAAAACATCCTCAATATCGTGGCTAAAAACATCCCTATTCTGCCTAAAATTTAAGCCTATTTTTCTAGCATTGGTATTTTAAGATAATACTTAGGAAGTTAAAGTCAACTTTAAAAAGTAGCTGATGTAAAGGAATGAAATAAATGTATATTCTGTTGTTGTCGTACTTCTCTCATTTCTTCATTTTGTGATTAAAACTATTTCTTTTTTTTAAATCTAAAAAAATCTTTCCGTTAGAAAAAACTCAACTTAAGCCTGTTTAATATATAATATATTGAGCTGCTGTGACTCAGGTTATGAAGCTTTCGTCTCTCGATATGTGACCCAGGTTCAAATCCCAGCGATGGCTGGGTGATACGAATTTTGCTCCCGACTTTTACCGACTTTAATGCTGACGTAAAATATTTTAAGTGATAGGAGAATGATGGATTAGAACCCCCTTGTCGATGAACTAACCGTGATGTTTTCGTGGTTTTCCTCTTTAACGAAAATGAGGGTTAGTTCCATCAAAATAAGTTTTCCACGAAGGCTTGTTTGCCAAAATGCTTGACCCCGGAATTCCCTTGTCATATGGGTGAGTTCAAAATTACAAGGCTATGGAGTTGAACATTGATAGTCGTAAACTCTGAATTAGGTCAGCTGTTCAATACGGGTAATAAAATAAAATAAAATAAGTTATAAATTACGCGCCAAGCTTTATATACTTTTTTGAAGCTATTTATGGGCCATTTTAATATTTTTTAAATTGTGTTTTCTTACAAATTCATTATAGGAATATGCAGCAATTTTTGATTGGAAGTCAGAAAAAGTTAGAAATGAATGTTATTATCATAAATGCTGGTGAAGATGCTTTTGAGACAATGCTTTATGCTACAATTCCTGTTGCAGTCAACTTTGTCAAAATTGAAAAAATAAAACCATTGGTAAGAATTTTATGCTCGTCTAATCAGTTTATCAATCAATGATAACTCTCTCATCACTAGTTGGCGTGAGCGTAAGGAACTGTAATCGCACCTTTAGAGTTAGTTTATTTCAGTGATTTAGGGGAAGAAGTCACGGAAAGTCGAAGCGAAAGAGAAACTCCTTACTTGGCGTTTTCTAGGAAAAAAATTAATATTTCCAATTAATTAATAGGAAAGAAATTAATTAATAGGAAAGAAACACATAAGATTTAATTAATAAAGTTCGAACTTATTTAAAGAGCTTTCTAACGAACTGAATCAAAATGATATTTCAGTTTACAGTTTTCGCCTAAAGAAATGAACTCATATTTCGTGCGCTTTAACTTTCTCCACCTATGAAAAAGTGAACTCTTCTACTATGCTTTCCCACCACTAGCCAACTTTGCATGGTTGAATAATACCTTTTTTTCTATTGATTATTATTATTATTCTATTACATTCCAACTATTATTATTATTATTGTATTCCAACTATTTTTCTTTTATATAAGCCCACATTTGTTTATTAGTTCTGAAGAAAAAAGTGTTAAATTAAAACAGCAGGTTAAAAAGCAATTATTATTTTTTTCTGAAGAACTAAGCTTTTTTTTTAGATAAACTTTGGTTTGCTGTCAAGTTTTTTGCAATATGCTGCAACCTACTTTGAATGTAGCACTTTCTGATTAAAACTCAATCTTTTAAAATGAAAATTCATTTATTAGAAACAATACAGTTGGTATTTAACTAATTAACTCTTAATCATAAAAAAGTATTTCTATAAATATAATTATAACTTAAAAATTACCTTAGGACACTTTTGTGGGCTGCTCAATGTTAGAAATGACCGACGAAGACCACAACGAAATAGCTTGTGATCTGGGAAATCCTATGCCTGCCAACTCTACAGTATGTAATCATTTTAGTTTATCTCTCATTTAGTTGATTTTTCATTCATTTTAAATTATAATACGTAAAATGTGTACAATGAATAAAAAAAATAGATTCCACCACGAATACCTTTTAATCTAATAATGAGAGTTTTCACCCATGTAACAAGATCAAATTAAACTTGTTTTCAAAAGAAGATGCCTTAAATACTATGTTAAAAAATTTTATTTTGAAAGATTTAACATATTATTTAATACGTTCACTGTGTACAATAAACCTAAAATGTCGATTTAACTCTGCAAAAATATAGATCTAATTTTCCACTGAGAAAAAAATATCTTCAAAACTACCAGAATACGGTAAAATTTACCGTATTCCTGGCTCTATGAAAGCACTAAAAATCTTATTAATTTTTACCGAAGCGTTTTGGTAATGATTTTGAAAAAATTAAGATCAAAATTTGGTTGTGAAGTATGTGACAAAATTTCATAATTTTATCGTAAAACTTTAGAGTATGTCATAAAACAAATTATTAGTTAAATTTACTTTTCAGTTTTGTATTTTTTACTAAATGTGTAGTAATAAGCAATATAATTTTGAAAACTAGAATTTCCGGTAAACCGCAACTATATGAACGGAAAAATTACCAAATGAATAGTTTAAATAATTTTTTTTAATTAGGCTATATGCTGTTTTTTTTCAAGCAGAAATGGCACTACTATACAATACGGTAATTTTACTAGAATTTTTTTCTCCGTGTACAAAAAGTTAATACTAATGCTTGAAAAAAGAGGAAAGCTTAAATAAGTTAATGATTTAATGTTAAATTATTTAGATTATTTAACACAGGACAGTGATCAATTATTTAATTTATGAATTATTTAAAAAATATCAAGTGTAAGAGTAATAATCTATATCATATCTTAAATTACGTTAAATTACTAAGTTCAAAAATCGAAACCTTAAACGAATTCAGATAAATAATAATCTTTTGTGTGACTAAAATTTAGGAATAAAACTTTTCGAAGGATTTTTATGAAGAAAAAAAAACCGAAAATATAGTATAAGTTACTCAAAATTGTTAATGATATAATTTATAATAACGAAATGTATTACTTTATTAATTATACAATGTTTCATTATAGAAGATGGTAATGGCCGACTTTTTAACTTAATTGAAATGTCATTAATTCATAATTTAAACTAAGTCAGTTTATTTGTGTGAGTGAAATAAAACTTCGTAAACAAATAGTCTTTTTGGATCATTTTCTTTAAACAAAAGTCATAATTCTAATAATAGAATAAAATAGTTCAAATAATAATAAGAAAATTCATAATAAAATTAAAATATTTTATTAAAAAGCTCAGAATATCTTAATGGATACTTTATAACCTACGAAAACGGGCAGGTTTCGTCAGAGAAATTTCATTTTTGTGCCTAATTTCATTTTTGAATTAACATAGCTTTTAAACAGAAAAGTGATATGTAACACACGTTAGTTTAATTATTTAACATAAGATCAGTAATGTTTAGAATGAATCGCAAACCATTAAGATAGTATTTTAGTATTTCAAAATCCTGTCTTTCTTTTCTATTATCATTAAGTAAAGCATATTAATTAAATTAACATTTTTTTAGATGATAAATAATTTTATTAGCTCCATTCGTTGTAGTTATCTTTATAATTTTGCTGATTGCAATAAATTACAATATAGATAAATAAATAATTAAAATAAAATTCATAATTTTTAGTTTTATTTACAGTTGCGTAAGTAATAAAAGTTTTTTTCCTTCTTTTAGTTAGCTTTTAAAATTTTGCTGGCTCCGTCAAAATCTTTGTCTGCAAGACAGGATCTGAAATTTACTGTTAAAGTTAACAGGTACTACTAAAAGTCCTTCAGATGTCTTTTAATCTATATTTTGATCACATTCATGTATTTTATTGAAATTGATATATTTTATTTAGATTGATATATTTTATTTACATTAATATATTTTATTTACATTGATATATTTTATTCACATTGATATATTTTATTTACATTGATATATTTTATATACAATAATTATAATTTTATTTACTTTGACATATCTTATTTACATCAATATATTTTGTTTACATTTATGTATTTTATTTACATTGATATATTTTATTTACATTTATATATTTTATTTACATTTCATAGCACTAATGCTGAGCTGATTGAAACGCTATATGATAACTTAAGGGAATTTAATTTACCTGTAAGAGTGGAAGTTAATGTTACTATACACGGGTAAGATGAGTAACATTATTTAATTCATAGCCTTATTTCCAATTAAAATACCAATAGTTGTTTTAATCCATTTTTGCTTTTAGTATTTCCGAGCCTCAAGTTATTGCATACAATAAAAGCGACCTACTTCCATCAGTAAAAATCAGCGAAAGTGAAGCGGGACCTGAGGTCATCCACGTTTATGCAGTAAGTTTTATTTCAATGACTCAGCTATGTTTATGCAGTAAGTTTTATTTCAACGACTTTTAACTCAGCCATGTTGATTCACTAAGTTTTATTAAAATAGCTTTTAACTCAGCCATGTTTACGCAGTAAGTTTTATTTAAATTATTCTTAACTCAGCCATGTTTATGCTGTAAGTTTTATCTATACTGTTACACATTTCCTTAACCTAAAATACGCATTATTTTATTTATCTTTTAAACTTTAAAAATAAATTAATCATGGTTGTGCGTAATGAACTCCTTTAATGAGCCTTTTTCAAACCTTGCCCAAAATGAATTTGATAAATATTAAAGGCTACATTATTTTTTAACATAAATATTAAAGGCTACAAATTAAGATACAAGCAAAGTAACAACAAAAAAACTGCTTCGTATCACAATGTGGAAGAGCATGTGTAATTGCCGAAAGAAAAAAAAGAGAGTTAAGAGGTGCTTATTAAAAACACCTCCATACTTTATTAGGGAGTCGAATTAGTTTTGATACTTTTTATCCGACCTCCTTCATAAGTGATACATATTTCACTTCATTTTAAAGTTGAATTCCAAAAATATACATTAAGGGTGGTTATTACGGAACACGCTGAAATTATTTGCAGCAATTGAAATCTTTATTAATGAACCAATCCAAAAATTCCTCTAAAAATTTATTTCATTAGTAGTTTACGAAAAAATATGTTTTCCATAAACGTATCATGGTAGTTTTATTTCAGCTTGAATATTAATTCGAAATCCTTCAAGTGAAAAATTTTCTGACTTAATTTTAAATAAGATTCATTCCTTAAAATTTAAAAAAAATTATAATTTTTCAGGAAAAAAAAGTTTGCTTTGATCAGTACAGTGTTTGTTTATTGCTGACAATCGACTTATGACAATTTATTCTTCTTTACAAGGTTGGAAATAAAGGACCAAGTATGGTACGTGAAGCTGAAGTCGATATTCTGTGGCCCACCTTTACTCTTCAAAACAAACCTCTACTTTACCTAATGGAACAACCTGAAGTGCAAGGGAAAGGCCGCTGTAAAGAAATTCCTGATGTGAACCCACATAATTTAAAAGTACTTATATTTTCACTCGTTGTACTTCTCTCTCTGGTAGAGTGTTTTTCTGACATTTATAATTAACATCACTATACGGGAATCACTCCCAAAACAGCCAGTTGTAGGCCAAAGAGGCTAAGGCTCCACATTTTTAGAACACCGTTCTTCTGGTGGAAGTGTGACAAAATTGCGCATTTTACGTCTTTACTTCATAGAAAAGCATATACGAATTGTTCTGAAATCAAAATAAAAATCGAACTGAATTCAAAATCAATCGGAAATCAAAATCAATATCAATCTGAAATCAAAATTTTAATCGATCTAAAATCAAAATCGAAATCGATAGGGGTGAGATTTTCGTTGAAATAATTCGTTTGAAATTCTGCCAAGAAAGGGCGTTACATTCCTAAAACATGCGCTAATTATGCCCTTATTCTCATTATTGTCCGTCAAATTGAGCATATAAAGCACGCAGGTATGTCAATAATTAAAATATTCTGCCACTCTTTTAATTTCGAAATATATTTTTCTTTTTACTACATTAAAGCAACACCTGATGGAAAAATCTCAAAATATTATCATTATTATTATTACGGAAACCTTAGCTTTATGATCTAAATAACGCATATTTGAAGCTTCTTTTGAATTCATTCAGTAGGATTGGAGCAAGAGCTAGAAACCTCTGAGAACTAATACTTTAATTTCAGCCAACTTGTACAATAAAATAAACTGCTTAAAACTTTAAAATAAAGGAACAACACTAGTGTAAAAGAACAAGTGTAAAAAAACATTTCTGGTGTATCTAAACACCTACATTCAAGATTTGTGTATAGTGTTTCACTACACGACTTTTGTGTAGAGTAGTTGCCATCATTAAAAAGCTCACGAACTATTTCAGAGTAGGAAATTGTTTTTAAATTTTGTTTTCAGAAGCAAAGTCTTTTTCAAAACTGCCATAATTGCGTAAAAAATGAACCTCATACTCTTTAAACTACTCTACCTTTGAGGCTTCTGATCCAGAACTCAACGCCGTTATGTAACTGCAATAAACTTAGGGAGTTTCTTCGGCATCAAAAATAGGTTATTTTACATCGTCTATTAACAATTTTTTAAAAAAAAACTGAAAAATGGGATTAAAATTAATCAATTTAAAATATCATATCACTGAAACTTATAATTCCTTGTAAAATCTCAAAAAAAAAAAATTAAAAACGCAAAGAGACTATCATATATTTTGAAAATAACAAAAATAATTCAAAAATTTTCGAATCAAAAATGGAACTTTTTACACTGTGTGGATATTTGAGCAGCTATAGAGCATTCTTTATTATTTAATTACCTACTGTGAAAATTTTTTTTACTTAAATGACTTTTTTCATACAGATAGAACTAAAGAAACCTCACAGTAGTGGTTTAACTGACCTTGAAGAGAAACTTTCGTCCAAAGAAAACAGATATCCCGAGGAAGAAGAGAAACGTACAAGAGAAAAAAGAAACGTGGAACCAAGTATCCCAAACCCATTCCAAGAAGAAATGGTACTCATTTTAAATTATATATTTTAAACTATATATTTAAATTATGATAATTATATATAGGTTAATCTTAAATTTAGATGTGAATTATTATTTGCAAGACTTTGAGTATCTTCGATTTTAAGTTAATTGTTAATTAAGAAGTTAATTATTTATTGCAGGATTAAGAATGTCTTATTTTAACATTCCAATATGTCGTTTTGCAATATTCGGTAATTTTGTTTTTAGCGGTTTTCTAAAACTTTTTACTATGCATATTTTTAGTTTCAACTATTTAATTGTTTCATTGTCATTTCAATATAGAGTTATATAATTCTATTGTGCTTAAACTTTAATGATGTTTTTGCATCCTGGTTTATATCATGGTTAAAGCATAACCTATTATAAGCCCTTTTTAACATCATAATTAAAGCATAGCTTTGAGAGCCTTTGGCATATATTTGAAAGGTAACCTTTGGTACAGAATCACTTGGACTAGTGATTTAAGGATATAAATACATATTACCAGACCAGGTCTCGTTAAATACGGTCACTCGGTTGCCATTGACGACGTATTAATTTTGAGTGACGACAATATTTTAGGCTCTTCAATTATGATTTGAATTTTTTTTATGTATTTTAATTTTATGTAAAAAAAGCGTCGGTCTGAGAATTGATGTCGAACGATATTTCTTTTCCTGTTGTCGTCTGTGTTTTTAACAATCATCGAAGAAAAAAAATCGCATTTTACCTAATCACATATTCCTCAAATTTCTGATATTGCACTTTGTAATAAAGTCGTGTTAAAAAATAGAAAATTAAAAAATCCTGTATAATTCCATTGCAACTGCTGCAGAACTGTGTTAAGAAACCAAGTGGATTTACGATGAAATCGATGCAAAATAGAACTAATGTGGTCGAAAATCGAAAGTTGATTAAGCAATTGCATGAATCGAGATTCATTAATTATACTTCATGTAATAGTGTCGTTTCAAAAATATCAAGACTTTTAAAATTATTTAGAAATTCATGCGTATAATTGTTGGAAAAGTTATTGAAAAATCACGTGAATGCACGACGAAATGGGTGCAAATCAAATGCTTGCAAAAATTTATTCAATTGCGTGATTCGAAACTAACCTGGTTAATAAATATTATGTATTACAAAACCGTAACAAATGCGTCGGAATTTCAAAAAACCACGCATAATTGCACACAACACGAGTAACCACAGCACTATTTTAAACCACTTAATTTAAAGTAATCAATCATTGATTAATTAAAAGCAATCAATTTTGAAAGTTTCATGTTTATAAAGCATTAAAAAAGTTTTACTTGAGTTGAAAACTGAAGGGAGAAGTACACACATGAAAAAAGAGTGAAAATGAGATTAGTGACCCACTTGTTTGAGAAACAAATCAAGCATCTGATATTTTTCTTAACTCTTTTATTTTAAATTTTGAAAATAATTTAAAATATTTAAACCATTTATTTCATTTTTTCAGTCTTGTGGTCCAACACTGTGTACAAAAATCGAATGCACCGTTTATAATCTGACAAAAGATGAACAAGTAATATTTATGATCAGATCGAGACTATGGAAAAACACATTAGATGAGGTAAGGTTAAAATTAAGTAAATGATAAAAATTATTTTATATTCCTTAAAACTTAAATCGTAATTAAGTTTCTGATGGTTGATAAAGTAAATTTTATAATTATACTAGTTCTTTCAAACATGCTTCATCCTCAATTTCTGTAATATATTTCAACTTTATTCCCTATAAACTGAAATTTCACTTAAAAGTATCTTGCTGAAGCTTTTAAAGTTATTAATACTATTCAAAGGAAAATTATTTTAGGTTCTTCCTTCCCTATTCATGTTTAGGATTAAAAAATAATTTTTAATGGTTTTGTTGAATACTCATTTACGCTAATTATAACAAATTGTGTTAATTACTGTGCTAATGAACATTATTAAAACTAATGTTCTTAAGAACATTAGTTTTACTTATAACTTAATGCATAATTTTAGTTCGATTTCACCGTTTTAGTATGAAAAGAAGAAGAAAAATTCTGGTAAAATTACTTTACTGTGTGGCGCTGACATTTCGGTTAAAAAAAAACATAGCTTTACTGAATGAAACCAAGATATACGGTATTTAAACCATTCATTTGGTAATTTTCCCATTCATATGGTAACGATTAACCGAAAATTCTGGTTTTCAAAATTATGGTTCTTATTAGCCTATATTTAGTAAAAAGTACAAAATTAAAAAGCAAATTTGACCGAATAAATAGTTTTTTGTTATGCTCTAAAGTATCGTGATAAAACTACTGAGTTTTACAACATTTACCAAATTTTATCGCATGTCATAAAACCATATTTTATTGTTAATTCTACAAAAATCATTTCAAATACTCTTTAGTAAAATTACTGAGCTTTCTGTTGTTCCCATAGTGCAAGAAATGTGGTAAATTTTACCATATTCTGGTAATTTTGACGATATTTTTTCTTCTCAGAACACTTTTGATTATTTCATGAGGTAACACAAATATTAAATAGAATCAAATATTTCACTTTCGACAACCACTAGAAGATAACCTCTAGTGGTCCTCTTTCTGTTGTATTTCTTTAAAGTTTTACCCATATTTTATAATTTTATTTGTCTTTGTACAAAATGTTCTCAATAATAATCAAAACCTATATTTTAACAATAAACTTTTTCTCTATGACAAGCCAACGAGGATACTTATTTATGTAAGTATTCTTGTATCAAACATGTTTTTAGAAGTACTCTCTCTTTGAAAAAATAAATTTTACTTCTGAATTATTATATAGTACTTTTAAGATTAATAGCATAAACCATTGAAGAAAGTGTAAATATTATTTTATGTTTTGTATAAATTACCCTGGAGGTTTTGGAATATCCTTAAACATTATTAAATTAAAAAAAATTATAATAGCTTGAAAATTCAGTTGTTAGAAACAAATTAATAAATATAATTTATTCATCTTCATTGTAGATAACTACAATATCATATCTTCTACTAAACTAATTAAAAAATATTTATCACTTTTTATATCAGTTATAACCTTTTTTATTTAATATTTTTGTCTATCCTTAAAATTAAAATCAGCAGCAAATATAAGTTCTGAATTTTCCCTTATACATTTTATTTTCTATTTTTTTACTTATAATTATAGTATTTACAATATTAATATAATCCAATGTACTAGTACTTTAATCTTTGTTCTTTGTATATAATTATAGCATCCTAATCAAAAATGAAATCAGAAAGATGTGCGCATTAGGGGGCACATGATAATACTTAACGACAAAGAAACGAAAACGTCTTTAAATATTAGGAATCGCTTTGTAGGAAAATGGAACTCAAAACATCAATAACTGTTAAGGAAATAAGGTGGTGTAATAAGAAAATTAAAAGCAACTCAAAGTTGTACCGTTACCCTTCAAACTTTGGCCAGTGGGTGATCTTTTAATTGAATTTTGGTAACGGTTACCCAGGTTCCAAAAATAGACACTTGACTAATGAAGTACATGAAACTTTTAACAATAAAAAGTAAATTTTATTATAACTATAAATTAACAACCAACACAATCCCGATCATTTCCAGATGCCTTCATGTGCACTCAAAATTTCAATTTATACACTTTTAAATTTCCAAATGGTTATTCTCAAGATAAAACTTTTCGATAAAAAGCACCTTTAAATTTCATATGCATAACATTAAATTAATTCACACTAAAAGAGACATTTACGAAATAAAAATACTAGCTCATTCTAAATTTACAAAAACATTTAAACTTTAAGTCCTTGTATTCCTACAACAGATAATTAAAATTAAATATCCAAGGCTCATCTTAAAATAGGTATCTTAACACCGGATAGAAATAATTTAAAATACGGAATAAAATGCTCTTCTAAAAAGTTACTAAAAAGGTAAGAAATTAGAGTTTATAAATACAAAGGAACTTGCAGATCACCTTCTGGAACGCCCACCGGGCCTGCAGCTAGACTTGTGGACTAGGAGAACTTCGACCTTCCGACCACCATTCAGTTCTTTAGAAACACTCGATTTTCTGCCGAGGAACGCTCACTTCTTGTCAACCGTCTTGAATCTAGCGACACTCCGTCTATCATTTCCCGTCAACTATTCTGAGGCTTCAGATCAACTTTCTTCCAGGCAACAGCTCATCCGATCAATGTGGCGTACTTAGTCGCGGTATCCAGGGACTCTTTCCAAATATCAACCTTTCAGCATTTCCGCCTAGATCAACTCATTCCGAGATTCCAGCTAAATCTAAACTCATTCTCGATGATACCGGCTCAGAACATACTTCTAACAGCCATGATAGATCCTGTCAGCGGTGATGTTTCAACTCAACATTCCATCGGGCACGATCCGCACTCCCGTCGTACTACTTTTTCAGGCACTCCCGTCTTACTACTTTTTCAGCCACTCTTCACGCCTCTTATACTTTTCTCAGCAAGGCGGAATAATTCATACTGACCTGTTTACTCGCTCAAAAGTCATCCCGCATCCAGTGGACGTCAGAACAAAAAAAAGATCCACAAGAAAAACCAGCTACAAACCCACTAATACGCCATAAAAGTGATAATCTAAAGCTCCTTAAATATTAATACAATTTATATCCACAATCTACCCCAAAAATACAATTTTAAAAGGATCAATAAAAATTTCTCCTAAAATATAATTTTGATTGCATTTAAATTTTATCATAGTGGTGCCATCTATTGAAAAATAACCCTTCTTTAAAAAGTATTGATACAAAAAAAAACTTCAATAAATTCCTATTTATTACAATCAGGCAATAAAACCTGCTTTGATGTTTTTAATCTAGGCTTTCTAGCTAATAATCTGATAGATTTATATAAAATTCCCTTTTTTTACTTTGCATAAAAAATAATTTGAGATTCATAATATACGTGCATACTTAATATATAACGGCGTCTAATACAGAATTCATTTAAGAGCAAATCATGTACCTTACTAATGGAGTTGTGCTCGTTTACAATTGAGATTGATAACAAGTAATTCTGATACTTCAAAATGCTTAAATTCATTATCCAAATAATGCAAATATATATGATTATTTCATAAATTATATATACTCTAACTTTTTTGAATCTGATGAGTCCAGTTTAAATTATTATGATAGTTTACTATTAACTGAATGATTAAAAAATTTAAACCATAGTAATCAAAACTTGATATGCTTCAAGATTTTAATCTTGAAGTTGATAATATTTTTTTAATTATTATTTTCGGTGATATAAACATTAAATTCTTCTTTCTGGTTTCAAACGAAGTTGAATTAAAATTACTAAAAATTGTTTGAGTACTCGTATTTTAAGTACTCGTAACCCTGTATTTAATTTTTCTCTTGTAGTATTCATTAGTGAAAACGATCAATTCCAAATTAATTCAATATCCAAAAAAATAGTTAAACCTCTTATAATTCAAATATTTATCAGAAATATTTCATCTTATAAATGAGTTTGTTCTCTTAAACTTAAGAGATTTATAAGAGACCGGGTTTTAAGTCTCTAAAATTTAAAGAAACTCTTAACGTTTTACTTGTTGTAATTTTGGTATGAGATTGTAATTTGATGTTATATATAATCTTTATTTACTCTTTCTGAATATTTTTTAATTATTTTGTTTTCGGTGACCAAACTTCGAAACATCGCTTTTAAAACACTTAAAGTTAGATGCATAAAAAACTATCACAAAACACTATACAATTTTTCCAAGTATATACTGTTAATATAAATTTTAACCCCTTTCATTTAAATTTTTAACTTCCTTTAATAAATTGTTTTACTCTTTTTCTTAGCTGGGCTTAGACGATGTCCAAATATCCTCTAAACTAGTCAGTCGAGTTACAGCACTTCCTCACGGTGTTGATCCCACCTATCTTGGTTATAAAGCTCTATTTGTAAGTATCATGCTTCAACAGTCATTTAATTTTTTTGTATCGTATCTCTTATCAATTTTTCTTAATTTTATTGAAGCTAAATTTTTTTTCTCACTTTTATAATGATCACGGAGCTTATTTTGAAAATAAATACCGACCGGCTAGTGTAGGGGTCAGGGAGCTGACCTTGCGTCAGAAAGGTTCTGGGTTCGAATCCCGGCAAGGCATGGATGTTCTTTCACTCTCTGTACTATCTGTCCTTACGGTAGGAGGAACGTTGACCCACCTAATATGGTGCCCTTGAAAGAGTGGCCAACAAATGTGCCCTTCAGATGCCTGTATGACGAAAGGGCATTCTCCAGGTGGGCATTGGAAAAAAATTGAAAATAATAAAAAAATAAAAGTATCATCTTTACTTTAAAGTGAATTTTAAAAAATCCAAATGCATTTCAATTTCAATTCCTTGAAAGTATGCTGTTCATTCCTTCAACCTCTCACCTATAGTGGTGGATTTTGTCTTCTGTTACTCCAGCTTGGGCCAGGGTTCGATCACATCACTAAAGGCTTGGAATCTGATCGGACTACACTTTCTAAGATAATTCTTAGTGACGCCAAATCCATTTTAATCCTTTAACGATCGGTTAATTTTCAAGAAAACGGTCACAACAGTGCCTATTTTGCCAAATACACATATTTGATTAGTGCTGCATCTAGTTTAAAATAAACTAGCTATCTACAATTACCTAAAAAATATCCTGGTACTGACATCTGGTGTGTAAAATGAGAAATAAAATTTTTTCCGGGCAAAGGAAAAGAATTAGTTTTATTCTGATTGGCGCGTTACTACTGAACACTCCAACCCGGAAATTTCACGGGAGCGAGAAATAGAGGACAAAACCTCACCCCGTCATTTTCCCGGGAAAGAGAAGGAAGGGGTTAATGTTCCCTATGGTTTCGGGGATGGGAAAGTCTTCGAACGGTTATGTGGTTGTTAAACTTGGTGAGAGGTTAAGTGATTGCTACACCATCTGTCCTCCAATCTAAATTGAGGTAGTGTTCACATATGCCAGTTATGTACAGTGTATAGTGTGATTTTCACAAGAAGCAAAACGAACCAAATGATTTTTTAAAAAAAATTTCTATGTGGTTTTAAAACTTTTCTTTAATATTAATAATCACAATCGGGATTTAAAAACATCCAAATGGTTGTAATTGTAGTTTTTGCATAATTTTGATTGTAACGATTAGTAATACATGACATTTTGAGCAATTATTACGATTACTTAAAATGTTAAGAAAAAACGACTTTCGCTATCATTGTTGAGAAAGATCTGCATTTGAAAATCAAGATATCTCAAAGTAAAGCATAAGTAAATATGGCTATTACTATATAAGCTAAAAACAATGAATAATCAAAAAAAATTATAAATAAATTGCAAACAGTATGCTATTAACAGGAATTAAATATAGAAATGTAAATAATAATCTTCAAAACTTCATAACTTTCAAAATTTTAATGAATTAATTTTTAAAATTTTAGTTAATATTTTTTTTAAATTTTGAATAATTAGTTTTAAAATTTTAATTAATTCATTCATTTTATTAATTATCAAAATTTTGAAATTATATTTAGCCCTTTCGTGCAAAAAAAATTGATAGTGGCAATGGTAAGTACTGACAACGGTGATTTATATTTATTCAATCTAAGAAAAATTATCATTGTTATTACTTTCTATTATGTACTTAACAAAATTAAGTATGTATTTGCAGTAATGATTGATTTTAGTAACATTCTTTTTAATGCTTATTATTTCTACAACTTTAAGACCTATTTCATTGAAATTGCTAAATTTTGGTCTAGGTAACAACGAAAGTTGATCCTGAAACAGTAACTCATCAGTTTCATATGATTCCGTGGTGGATTCTGATACTTTCAGTTTCGGTTGGACTCCTAATTCTTGGACTTCTAGCTTTAGTTCTTTGGCAGGTAAAAACTCATCATGAAATTTTAAAAGCATTCATCAGGAATCTTTTCGGATATATGAAAGAACTCTTGTCAAAATTATTGTTAAAAAAATCTGCAGAATGGGGTTTAAAAATGTTGCACGTTTAATTATTCATTATGCACACTAAGTCACTAAGTGATTCATCTAAGAACCACAATTTCAATGTCATTTTTTATATATAAATAAGATGCATGAATCCTTAAAAATATAGTTATTTACAAACTACCACACTGTCAGAATTCGCAATCAGAAGGAATGGTTAAATAATAATTAATTTAATTGTTATTTTACCATATTCAGACAAAACATTCAAATGATTGCACATAACATGATATTCAAATTGCTGACTCTGAGAAAAACCGTTTATTAACTGATTTCACCTAATACGGTTAAACAACCAGAACTTTATCGTACCAACTAGGCTCACCAAATGAATCCACTTAGTTCTTTGCAGAGAGATAGATATTGTAGCCGAGAGGGCTAATCTGTTAATCTCATGGCCGACAAAATGGGGGTTCGAGTCCACACCACAATATTTCCTTCATTCTCTTCAACACATTAAGAGTTTCCAGTGTCCTGCACTTCCCGGTTTGTGACCCTTGACTATTAGAATACGATACTCTCATTCACCTATAGATGGCAGCACCATAAAGCTTTTAAACTATCTCCAATATCTAGTTAAATTTCTTTTCTACGGTTTCGAAGCCATGCTAGTTGTGAATGGTTTAAAAACCGTATAGTATTGTATTTATGGTCTTTTAACCATACTAAATGTTAACAGTGTCAAAACCGTAAAGGTAAAAAATGCTCTTCACAGTAAACTTTGCTGTTAATCGAATGGACAGACTGCGGCTGGTTATTTTACCATACCTTTAGAAATAAATTTCTAACAGTGCATGCAACACTTTTCAAAGCACACCTTAATTCTAACGTAATTATGCCCTTGTAACTTATAAGGACATTTAAAAATCAATTAAATACTATCGCTACTGTACTAGTCTTTAATTGCATGCGCACACTGAGAAAAAAAAAAGTATGGCCAAAATACCAGAAAATGGTAAAATTTACAATTTCTTGCTTTATGGAAACACTACAATGCTCGGTAATTTTCACCGAAGCGTTTTGGTAATTATTTTGGTACAGTTAAAAATAAAATACGGTTTTATAATATGACATAAAATTTAGTAAATGTGGTTATCATTTTCGAAACTATTCAATGCAAATTATTCGAAGTATTCGAAAACTATTTAATGCTTATCATTAAAAGTAAAATGCCACAGGCATGAAACATTTTTTTTAAATATCTGAAGTAAAATCTTCATGATTTAAAATTAATATTTAAGCAAATTATATTAATTAATATTGCAACTTAATGAATCATAAGGTAAGAAAGTGGGATTAAAACTTAACAAAAACCTGTTTGATTGCCCAAGGAATCAAAGATGAGTTAAAAACAATTATTTGAAACACCTTTAAATTTCTTATGTCAATTAAAAGATTTTTGATACTTTTGAATACCGCCGTCTTTGATAGTGAAAATTTTTCCCATTTTTATTTTTGACTTAAATTCTAAAAATTTAAATTAAAAGTGGAGACTGCCCTCCACCTACGCAACGCAAGTAAAAAGTGGGAAAAAAGCATAAATCCATTAAAAAATAATCTTTAAGGCTTGGAAGTTTTTTATATTGTACTTAAGGGAATTGAGAAATTGTTTTTGTTAAGTTTATATTAACTGTAAAAACTGCTAAGTAATTGCGATGATTACCATTAAACTGGAATCTATATTTTTCAGCTGGGCTTCTTTCGCCGTCGACGAGTTGAAGATCAAATGGAAGAACCCCTACACGCTTACAGAAATGGTTATCCACTTGCTAGAGGAGATGAATATTTGTAGAGAAACTTTACACTGTTTGACTCATATGAAATAATCAAAAGCATTAATTAGAGTCATTTTTCTACTAATAAACTTCCGTTTGCTCTTTAATATTCAAGACATTTTAAAAAAGTAAACATTTCATCGAGTCGTGAATAATTTGTTTTATTTAAAGAACACCGTTGGGGAAAATTTGTGTGACACATGTGTACTTACTTTTGAAGAGCTTTTTTAGTTTTCCCTTTAACTGATGGATCACTTACTGTCCAGCTATCACAAGAACTTCTCCAGACATCAGACTCACATGTCGGTGGTTGCTATGGTTACGAAGATACGTTACTTTAAATAGGAGCATGTGATTGTTTGTCTGGCCTGTTCATTAGAAGTGTGACGTCAGTTTTAAATTTCTCACCTGAGCCACCTTCTAGAACCCTTCAGGGACATAAGTGGACTTAAGAATGACTTCTTGTTTTCATAGCAGCAGACAATTTCAGACATTGGTACAGAGGATTTCCTTGAAGGAGTTCCCTTCGAAGTACTATTTCTTCATTAAAAACCATTAAAAACTATTTTGATGTACTAAAAAAGCAGCTAGATTTTACTCCGAACTGAGTTCAGGACTGACAGCTAAAATGTTTAACGAATATCTTTCTGTGTAACAAATTGATCGAAAGATAGTGTATATAATTTGTTTGTGTTTTGTGTATAAAGATATCATCGAACAAAATATATTATTAAGAGACAAATAAGTTGCTTGTACTAATTTCATAGTGTTATTTAATATTTTACTTAAAATACGATACTGTTGGACAAAGATACGCTTTTGAAATATTATTTATAATTTTGAGGAAAAGGAACTAGAAAAATCTAATAAATGATTGTAGAGTTTATGTGCTGCTTTAAATTATTTGTAATATTTTCTGTATAATATTTCCTTCTTCATGAACATATTACTTTTTCAACGTTAATGTGTTGCAGCATAAGAATTATTACGAAGTATTCAAGGCTTAAAAAATTGAATAATGTAATGTGAATTGGTTATTTTACCGTGAAATATTTGAATGAACCCTTAGATATTTTCAAACAATAAGAGAAATAAGCAAATCTTTAATTAAGTTTGGAAAACTTAAACCTGATATGCACGAGGATACCTTTTAACGTAAAATTTTTTTATCATATAATCAAAAAAATCTGAAAAAAAAATTCTTATTTTCAATAATTTAAGAGATGGGACAGTAGATTTTCTTTCATATAAATTATAGTGCATCTATTTTTCATCTACAATTTTTTTTCTCAGAACGTCATATAATTAGGTTTGTCTCTTAACGTTATATGAAATAATTCTATTATTTGTCCTATGTTTTTTACTTGACCTGATATAATCTATATTGTAAATTAATGACACAATTCAATTAAATAACCTTAATTCATAGAGAAGCAGGAACGAGAAATTAAGAAACAATAATGCCTATAATTTATCATTTGAAATTTACGAATAAATAATAAAAAATTTTCTGCAAAATTTTCCAAATTTTAAAAAGAGGAGTGAAAAATAACCAGTCAGATAGCTAAATATCTGAAACTACCTGTTTTTTAAAGGGTAATTTTCTCGTTGCATAAAAAATCTGCATTTTGACTACGGTTATGCTATTATAAAGAAAGAGGGATGTAAACTTTGTAACGGCGTTGTTATTGCTTTGAATAAGGAAATATTCGCGAGAAAAATACTGTACATGTCTATCTATACTTTATTTCTGTAACTATCTGTACTAATGGTTTAAAAAAATATGATTTTAAATTTAATATACATAAATTTCGCTTTCATCTGTTTTTTAGTTTAATCAAATCGAAATATTTATGTTATCACTTGTTTAACTTCAGAAATATTTCTCCGTAGTAAAGACTTCTAACAATCTTTTCAAGATTTATTTTATTTATTTATTTGTATTAATATAAAATTATCATAATTTCAAATATGACTATCTAGTTCGACTTTATTATTCTTACTTATATTTATTATATTAATATTTTGTACGCGTGTTTTTAATTAGACTTTCTGTTTCATAAAATACGCAGTTTATAACTACTTAAAACAGTTTATTTTATTTCATTTAACCTCATGTAAAATACTGACGAAAATTATGTAGGTTTGTGTAACACCATGAGAAATTTTGTATCTATTTTTGTTAGTTTAACTTCCTTTTTCCGCTGAACAAAATCCACACTGTGACCTGTTGGAGATTGTACAGTGGAGATTTATTAAAAACTCTGTTGCCATATTAGATAGCGCTTATTACGTGCTATTTTTATGCATTTTGTGAGTTAGTAAGTTATTCATGACTATAGTTGGCTGAACTTTGTCAATTTTTGAACAGCTCATTTTTGCTAATTATGAAAAATTCCGTAAAATGTCAGCATGAAGATATGCCAAAATTTTGTAGAAACGAAAAGTGCTTAGTTGACCAATTATTTAATAATTGAAAGTTAATTCTTTGTTTAAACTCATAAACAAAGTTGTTTGTTTAAACTCATAAAAATAGCTAAAATTGAAAATTATTTATTGATTTTAGTAGTTTTTATAAGGCTTGAAAAAATGTGCCGAATTGACGATTTTTTTCTAAAAAGTGTAATTTTTTTAAGTTATTTGAACAAATATTCTTTTAAGCAAGATAAATTATATAATTCAAAAAAGTTTAAAATACTAAAATCGAAAACCTTAATGTACTCAAAGTGGGGGTTAAAGTACTCAAAAGATGTCATTATTTTATTTCTTGACGCAAGCGCTTTGAAGTACACACTGAACAGAGAGAAGTAGGCTGAATCTCTCCACCGTTATCTTGCTCACCCCCCCCCCAGAGTCTTACATTATAACAGGAATAGCCCAGTCATTCTTCGAAAGATACAAAATTAATGCGTAATTAAAATAATGTGTACTTTCTGAAACACTCTATCTAAGAGTTAATGTTATTTATTTGCATCAATATACGATTACAGGAATAATCGTATGAGTTCTTGTATGATTTGAGTGCTGGGCACTCAAGATTATATTTTATCTCTTGTTGTCTATTTTTATTGTAATTTCAAATTTTTCTGATTATTTTATAATAATTATGATGACTTTGCAGAATAAAATAAAAATTAAGCAATTTTATTGCTTTTTTGTTTGATTTTTTTTCTTATAATACTTCACTTACTAAAAAAAAGTACAACATTAATAACTTCGTTTGTTAATTGGGCATTTTAATAGATGCACCATAGATCTTTTGATGTCAAAGCTGATAGACTCTTTCCTCTTACTGTTTGAGGCATGGCACATGTCGCGTAGATAACTTGTGGCTTTTTGCTTTGCAAAATCCAAGACATTCTGCAATCGCACCTCAGTTCATTTCCTGAAAATTTTTATAAAAATATTTTTCAAAATCCTGGTGATCGTCTAAGATATCTCATATGTACAATTCTTATTGCATAAGGAAAACTTAATGTGTAAGAAAAACTAGTTTATTCGTCGTATGAAACTAGAAATGGTAAACAGATTAGGAAGATAATATTAAGAAAAACTTAAAAATGTTTTCACATTAAAAATTTTAGTTTCTATCACAAATAAACTGGTTCTATTGCTTTAAATTCGATCTTTTCTGTGCTTCCTCATGAAAATGATTCTTTAGATTTACACGATCTTACTTTTTTTATTTTCTTACCATTAAGGCTTTTAAAGCTCGAAATTCTTTGTATTGTTTTATTTCCTTCGGACAAGAGTTTATTAGATATATATTCAGGGAGATTTCTACAAAGCCCCTATTAGAGGCTTAGAAAGTTTCTCGAAATTTGTTAAACACGTAATTATTATATTTTGAAATAAATATTATTTTTCATAATCAAATTATGCCTTTCAGATATGTCTAGAAAGCGTTAAATCTATCTTTAAAAATTTAATTCCTTCCAAAAAAATTAAAGAGTTTTTTTGTGGATCGATCGATTATTCCATTAATATTCTCGGTTGATCTCGCTCTTTGATGAAATCAGTATTGTCATTTTCAGTCGAGAAATTTTTCAGATTTAAATTATCATTCCAAAGCAAAGCCGATTCCTCAGTTAATGACAAATTTGAAATTACCCTGGAATTCTAAAAACCTAATTATACTGGGTTGAGCATAATATTCAGTCTTAACGTATGTTTTTAAAATACTTGTCAAAAAAATAAGCTCGGAAAGTACAAACATTATGAAACACCAAGAATAAATGTTAGTCGCATATTATTGCTTAATTGGTTAAAAGCAGATGTACTGTCAAAGTTCTAACGAATCACCAGTGTGGAATGAGGGATTAAAAACATCAACACCTACCTGTTTGAAGGGAAAAAATCAAAGTTTCATGAAACAATCGAAGTGGTTACGTTTTTTTTACATATTCCCTTCTTAACAAGTAATTCGACAGACTTCGACAACAGTTTTGGCTCAAGATCACTTAATTATTAATTTTTCATAACTAATGACAGTACTTTTTTCATCATTTTTTGGAAATCTAGTTTCAAAGAGTATATAATAGAGGTGATGATTAAGAAACACTTTTTGCTACACTGAGCACAATATCCACGAGCATAATTTTGTTGTATTAATTATAACTTTTTTATTTGTTGTATAGCTTTTACTGCTACTTTCATAGTATTAAAAATCATTCTAATAAAAAGGTGAAATTAGTGAACAGTATAAGAAATTCCAGATCAATGTCGGCATATTTTGACGGGAAAAAAATTTTACCGTAAAATTTTACAGAACAAAAAAATCTGATATACCGTAATTTTTACTGTAATATCACTAAATCACTGTGATTAAATGTTAATAGAGTATTACTGTAAAAAACACGTTATAAAATTCTATTCTAAAAATAGATTTTAAGGTAAAATATGTTTTACAGGTGAAATATGTCTGCACTCTAGAATCCAATACTTTTTACCATGATTATATCAGGAATTTTTTTACAGTGTAGCAAAAAAATCATGTGTTCCAACTTCATGAACAATTTATAATAACATTCTATTTTGAAAGCTAAATTTACAGAATAATAATAAGATAAACTCTTTTTTTTTATAATTATGTTATTTTTAATGCCACTTGAAGAAGCCTGGCTCACCGGCCATTGGCCTTTTGTGAATTAAGTCAGAAAGGTGCGCTTTTCGTTTGACAAGAGAGCACCACAAGGGTAAAGCTACGTTAAGTTTAGTAAAAAGAAACACGGATAAATGTCAGCACCACTCATTCGTGAGGCCACTTCCTCGCTATAGAAATAGGTCAGAAGGAGAAGGGTATTTTCTTCAGATTTCAGTACTCATGGTACTGCTCAGCGAGCGACTTGAGATCTCACGAGCACGTATATCGCATGTACTCGATCGATCGAGGACTAAAACCTGTCCCCTCAAGACCTGAGTCCGATTCTCTAATGATTGTGCTACCACCACCTTCCTTTTATTCCATGAATCATGAATTTAGTATTTTAATCGGTAGAATTTGTTATGAAATGCAATTCAATCAGTAAATCCTTTGAGTTCTTATTTTTTAACAAAAGTAACAAATTATCTGGCTTAAGAAAACAAAAATTTGAAGAGATATCATGAAATAGTTTACCCATAGCTTTGAATTCTATCAGAGAACTCCATATCGGTGCAAACACTTTTTCACTTAAAACCAATATTTTGTTATGGCTGATGTCAAGGTATTTTAAATGTGGTATTAAACTAAACATATCATCTGGAAATTGCTCAATCTTGTTGTAACTGAAAATGAGTTAAAAAATACCAAGTTTTACTGCTGTGTAAATTATACACATATTTTTTAAGAAAAGAAAAATACTTACAGCTATAAATAAACTACTGCACATAAAATAAGAGCTATTTGACATTTTCATATCAGTTTTAGTTTAATTCTTGTATAATTTCATCCATGTAAGTAATGTATTTCAGACAGAATTTTTTTAACGAAGATATGTTTTTTACCTGATTCAAAATATAAAACCATCTACTTCATTTTTAGAAACAAATACATTCAACATTTTTATATCAATATCAGACTTATTGCTAAGTGATAAGTCTTAAAGATAAAATCTACTAAAAAACATGCTCTTTACATGACTGAAACTACACAACTATTTACTTCGTTGTTGAAACTGGATATATTTGACATATTCATATCAATGCTAGGAAATTTGATACGTAATTTTATTCAAGCAAGTGACAAGTCTCAAGAGAATAGAGATAGAATCTATTTCCGAAAGCCTGCTCTTTACTTGATTGAAATTACAAAGGCATTATTATGACAATGTGATCAGCACTACGTACAAGCCACCTTTACTTCCCAGACAAGCTGGAACCCATATATCTGACGCTGGGAGGACTTCAAGCTGCCACTGGGTATCAAAACCCAGTTCTTCAGTTTAGTGTCCCAATATCTGGGCCATAGTTGCCCGCCAAACTTATTTAAATAAAAAGAAAACTTGTATCGGATTTTTTGTGCATTGTTATTAAGTAGCAAAAAAACACGTAGGCATTTATTAGCTTTCAAATCTTTTTCGCTTTGTGGAAATTTTCTTTAAACCTTTATAAAATGTGCTTTGCTTCCAAAACATAAAAGAGACGATTACGATTATGATGATTCATTACGAGAATTAATTTTTTATGATGAAATACTACACAAACGAGTAAAGCATTTCTGTTTTGAAAGCGTTAATTTAATAATCTAATCTGTGAATCAATGTAAAAAATTCAGAAGGACAAAATAAAATCAAGGAAATAAATTTTAATTAAACACTTTATTACATGCATGCCTAAAAAGCATCAAATGTTTTGAAACGTAACTCTCAGAGTGAAATGAGAATGAGACAATTTCCTCCTATTGGATATATTTTTGGTTCAAAATATAGCCCATATTTTTAATGCGTTTATAGTAAAAGATTCTCTTTTAAATTTTACTTGAATTTCGATAAATTATATATCTTATTGATGAAAATAACTTACCTCAAGTTCAAAACAACAAGTGCAATTGCAGGGTTAGGAAGCATCGTTCTTTTAAGAATAGCAATTTCGTTATGTCTTATAATTATATTCCTTACTGTTCTACTATTAGCAAAAGCATTATCATGAAGAAAACTAATCCCATTGTTCGTAAAATCAATAGTATTTAAATTTTCTAAATTTATCTTCCCCAGATCTTCAATATTCTCCAACTCTCCATTTTTAATTTCCAATGTTTTAAGTTGATTCAATTTGCTGAGGACTGACCAACTCCATTCCCCCAAAAGCTTAAAGTTTTCCATCCTTAATACTTGTAAATAATCTTCCAGACCTTCAAAGGCAAAATCTGCATCTGTCAATGCCATGAGTGTGGAATTTTGTATTTCTAGCTCAGCTACCTTTAACCCCTTGAAAGCATCGGATGGTATAAAATTAAACACCGAATTCTGAATAGTAATTGATTGCTTGTAATTTTTTCCAACAAGAGATCTAGCAGCATTTATTAAATCATGGTTGTTTTCTAATTTGGTGCAAGTAACATGAGCAACGCCATTCCAAAAGCAACTGCAAGGATATAAATCTTCTTGGCTGGGGCACGCATCGACAATTAAAAGATATACAATTAAAATGAATATATTAAAAATTATCATCTTCGAAATTTTGCTGGTAATAAAATGCTCTTGTTCATCTTAGATGACAAGTATCTCTTATCGCTCGCAGAACGGTGATATTGTAACTGATAAGCATAAAAACATCTGATCGCTTTCCCTTCATGAATTATTCAGAATTCATCTACGTCACTGAAATGGTAATAACACATTTTAATGTTTCAAGGTTATTTTTATTATTTTTTAATGCATTCTTTACCCTAAATTTTTTTAAAAATTATCCTGAAAGGATAAATTATGATTCAAATTAAATTAAAGTAATAATGATAAAAGGCTTTTTTCTGTATTTGCGAGTGTGAGGATGAAATTAATATTCCCAAACTTTAAAATAATTTTTCTCGAAACAAATTTTTCATATTCTCAGACACTTTTACTTCTTTAATTTTCAACCAACAAATTAATATAGAAATTTAACATCGAAAAACAAATTAACAAAGTATTTTTTTATTTAAAAAGATTTTTTTTTAAAAATATATATTACTATTGTTCTTAGGTTACAGGTACTCTACACTAGCGGTTTTAATTTTTCGGCAAATGGAACCTGAAATAATCAATCTTCTTTTTGCAGAAAGCCGACTTTATAAATAAAGTATACAAAGACAATTGTGAACGTATTAACCAATAAAAGTATATTATATTTTGAAGATATATAGTAAGAGGATTGAAATTTTTTCCTCATTATAACATTTTGTTTATGTTATGTATCTTAAATTATGTTTTATGTCCGATAGTTAATTCACAGTCCTGACGCTGTTTTGTTTTTGGTGTATACAATGGGAAAAATAATAAAATAATTTGAATTATGGTTTTTGTTGAAATGAAACATTTTAAAAATATGCCATAAATGTTTAAAATGGTAATTAGGAAAATCATTTTCGTCATCAATGAATTTTATTTTTTTAATTATGATTTGAAAAGCTCGATGGAAAATGCTAACGTAATTTTTTAAAAATAAAAATTTTCATAATCGATTTTCATTTGATATATTGTTATTGAAAAATGTATAAAATGATAAAATTATTGAAATTTTTATTTCATTGGTATTATTGGAAGATAACTGAAATGCTAAATGAATAATGGATTTTTAACTAAATCTTAGTATTTTCGTTAACAGTTTCACCAGGTTTCAAATGTATTTAAAAATTCTTTAAAAAATTCCTTACTGTATAAATATATAAATTGAACACATTATATGTAACTGAGAAAAACTTTTAAGTTCGAAATAATGAACTAAAACATTAAAAAATAAACATATTTAATTTGCAAATCATAACTTAGTATTCTGATTATATAAATGCTTCAGCATAATTTTCTTCTTTCAATGTTTCATTTTTTGCTTCATTTTTTGCTTAAAATTTGCTTTCATTTTTTGTATAGAAGAAAAAGCTCACTTTTAAGCATTTGAAGACTACAAAATTTAAGTTTATTATGTTCAGTCAAACTAAAAAAAATTTTAATTAATAAGTGTTGTGACAAGCATTAGTGAATATTCACGCAAGTATTTTGGTATATATAACTGGAACCCGATCAAACACGCCTTATTTTGGCATTTAATGAATTTTTCGTTTTTCCCTAAAAAAAGAAAGGAAATTTAAAGCCCCTTTTTCAGCAAATAATCTACCTCAAATTAGCAAACTTTCGACAAAATTAAAGTTTACTATGTCAAAAAACAACGTGAGTAAGTCAGAAATAAAAATAAATAGATGAAAGTACATATGTCAGTTTATGTACTTTCATTTGTGCTTTATTCACATTGTTTTTTGCTTTAGACTACATAGTATACTCTATAGTTTGTTGAAAATTAAACTTTATTTTTAAAAAATCCAATGAGAAAATATTGAAAGCAAAAGTTTTTGTATGCTTTATATTCTCTGTTAAAAATACAATCAAGAAATAATATTTTCAAAAAGTGAGATTTTCAGACACAAGCGCGGAATGAAACATTTATTCCACTTACATTCAAAATTCACTTTATTTTTAGCTGCTGAATAAAAGTGTTAGTATTTACCAGTTATGGAATTTTTTGTGTAGTTGCATATCAGAAATATTCTATTATGTAAATGCAGATTTCTTTTTATTTTCTTATTTTAGATCCAGAAAAATTACAAACAACCTCGATTTTACGATCATAATTTTTTTTAACTTACCGTATTTGTAAATATGTGTATGACTGTATGTTTATAAAAAAATAAAATAAGTGCGTATCAAATACCTTTGATAAAAATCTAAATATTTTGTACTTTAACCCTTTAACGCAGATAGGACACCGGTGCCCCATTTATATATTTTTTCCGACGTTCTAGTTACATTCAAAAATAATTTTTAATTAAAAAAAAACAGTCTACTAAAAAAATCTGCTGGATAATCGGAATTGTATTTGTACCAAAATATTAAATCCAAAAAGAGAGTATGAAAAAAAAATTTCATTCATATTTAAAAATATTAATGATATTATTAATAAAAATATCAATAATTGATTTAGTAAATTAAAGAAATTTTAATGATTAATAACTGCTTCTCTTAGATCTAAATAACTGCAAATAAGCAGAAATTTTAAAAAAAATTCTGGATTGCTGTATTTTATAACCATAAATTATTAAAATGCTAAAAATAATATTTTTCACTTATTTTGACCTAAATTAAAACAAAACAACGAGAAAAGTATGAAAAATATGTTGTACAACAATTCTGCGTCAAAAAGATCAATTCTGCGTCAAAAATTTTGCTCGAATAGTATTGAAACATATGGCTCAATCTATCTAGCCACAAAGTTAGGTTTCTTCCTTATTCAAAATGGCTTTGAAAATAAGTTTTATGATTATTTGAAATAATCCATCTGCGCTCTGTAATTGGAGGTTTTCTTTATGAATTGAAATAACCGTCACCATAATAAAGTTTCAGGAAACTTGCACCATTTTGTGGTCCACAAGAGCCAATTTTTTAAGAGTTTAACAAGTATGAGTCTAAGTAAGTTGTAATATACAAAATGAAAGAATAGTGAGTGTAACGCTCAATATTTTATATAATTATGTTGCAGCATTAACATCTACACTTATATCACCACTGTTTCTGTTCACTTGTCGGTTTAAAAAAATATGATAAATACAGAAGATTACATTAGTTCTATACTAAAAGATTTGGGTAATTTTTGCTTCTAAAATAAGATGAAACATCCTTTTTTGTCAATTAAATACACCATAAATCCTTTGATTTTAAAGATGATAAACTCTTCCCTCTTAGTGGTTGGGGCATGGCGCAGGTCGCATCGATGATTTGCGGCTTCTTCATCTTTAAAATCCAAGTCAATCTGCAATCACATCTGAGCTCATTTCCTACCAAAGTGAAACATATATTTTAAAAAAACTGTACTCAAATTTAACACTTTGATGTCATTAAATTGCTTTGATTTCTTTTTTTTTCTGCTGCTTAATGTGCAAGGTACATAATAAATATTGTATACAGTCAAATAACATTTAAAAACATAATAAATAGCAGCAATAAAACAATTTTCGTCAAAAAGATAAAGTATTAATATAGTGAGTTGGTATCAAAACATTAAGATCAAAAAAAGTCATTAGTTTTATTCATGTCTATTATTTGTTTTTTGATATTTAAATTCTAAGTTTACTTAAATTTAGTTACTTTTACACATTTCCATAAAACTAGAACTTATATACTTTTTTAACGGTTTTTAATGTGCTTCCTAAATAGTTTCCGAACGCCGTCTTAAAATCACTTCTGATGTTGTAAGTTTAAGCATTTTTTTTTTCAAATATATTTCTTCAGAATACTCCATGGCTATTTTTTATTAGTTTAGAATCTTTTAGGTCAGAATTTTGAGGTGCCTAAATTGTTTTTTGACGCATTTTTCTACTCGAACATTTACGTACCAGACGTTTTCAGATGTGCCTTTATTAATACATTTTCAGAAGGAATGTCTAATTCCAGCAGCAAAATAAAACCTCCTCAAATGATCTTGTAGCTATTATAAAAGTTACGCTGCTATTAAAACTCGCTTATTTGAATTACATGCTATTATGAATAACTGCTTATAATCAATCACCATCAATATAAAGGCTTTATTTTAAAAGTTAGAAAACTCTAATTAATAAAAAAAATTAAGTTAGTATCTTCTCACAAGTAATTTCTGTATCTCTTTAAAAATAGTATGCCTCTAGCTTATGTATGATGCCAACTGCCAACAAAAGGGCACCACACAACACACATGATAGAGAGAACGAGATACTCATTAGACTTGAAAGTTACATTTCGAAATGAATTTTGAATTTTTAGAATGTAAATTGGCAATTTTAATAGGCCTTCTTCCATTCTATTAATATCCTTGGTATTGATAAGATAATTTTATCTAGTTAGGATAATATGAGAAGACAAAATAGGCATCTAAAGGGAATAACATCCTATAAACATATTTTCAATTCAGAAATTTTACTTTTGCTAAATGAAGAGCTGAAGAGATTAAGTTTCAAGAATATTTATTTTCGAGTCGTAAATATTACTTGTACTAAATGAAGAGCTCAGTGGATGAAGTTTCAATGATATTTTCGAGTCATAAATATTATTTGGGACTCAATTTGTAAATGAAAGGAAAGTGGATTAAGATTCAAAGATATTTTAGGGTCATATATATATTATTTGTTTCAAGTGAAGAACTAGTGGATCGAGATTCAAGGATATTTTAGGGTCATAAACTTTACCTGTCTTAAATGAAGTGCTGAATTATCCATTCAGCACTTCCAAACAGTTCTCAGAATTTTTTAGTGAATTTAAGTAAACTAGCTTTAAGATATGTTGCTTGTTGGTTATTTTTGTTAATTCACTTGTTTATATGTTGCTTGTTTTTGTTAGTACGCACATTTTCTACTTTTTCAGTATATTTATGAAAATATATAAAACACAAAAATTGGGGAACCCTTCATCCACTAAGATCGGAATTAAAATACTTTTCAAGATAAAGGGATACCTTTTAGTTAAATTAAACTTAAATAGGAATTTTTAGCGAGAAATCGCAACTTTAACAAGAATGTTTCTTAAAATTTCCTTCAACTAATACAGCCCTGTGTTTTATGCAAAAAACGGAGATTTTAAAATTTTCATGTGTTAAAAAAATCAACTGCCGTGAATCTACATAGAATGCTTCTATGCCGATAAGAAAGATTATATTTGAAAAAAATTTACACAAATGATTTGGAGTTTGTATTCATTGTTTTACTGTTATTATGCATGTTACTTGCACCCATGTAAATATTCAATCTTAACCAATTACTTTAATAAACTATTAGGCTTCATGCTTATTGGTTTGATTATTTTTACATTATGCGAAAAATAGTTCCTAAAAATTCATATAAATATAAATCTATTTTTATACAATAATTATTTTAATATTAAAAGGATTTTTTATACTTTAAATACTTTAGGTTTAATATACTTTCAAAAGAAAAAGAATCAGTGTTCGAAATGTCTTAGAGTAGATTTTACTTGAAATATTTTACCAAGAGCGTGGAACTCTGCAAGTCCATCCCACACTGGCTTAAACACTGCTTCGCTTAAAACCAGTATTTCATTGTGTCCAAGATCCATTACTCTTAAAAATGGCATGTTACTAAAGATATCACCTGGAAGCTGTTCAATCTTGTTATAACTGAAAACGAAAATATTCAAATGAATAGCTTCATAATTACCCTTCACCAAAAAATTACTCATTGTAATAGTTTTCATATTTTGTACTTAGAAAATGAGAGCTAAAGCAAAACTATACCAGTTCTAACTAGGTGACAATATGAGTTAAAATACAAAAGTTCAACAAATTCAATATAGCAAGTTAAATCATTTATTGTATAAAAGTAATAAAAATCAATCTACAAATCATACTTAGAAATCTGATAACTTTTATTCATTTTAAAATGACATTACCTAGATTTCTCAGTCGGAAGTATTAATTCGCTATAATTCATTTACGGTACACTTCCTTTTGTCACTTGTTGTAAAAATCATATTAAAAATGTATGTTTAACTTTTTTAAAGCGGCAGAAAGACAACTCTGATTATGTTTATGTTAATAAAACCAACTGACCAAATATTTTCAGTTAAAACATCTGAATCTATTGGAAATCATATTTCAGGTGTCTCATGTGAATTTACTGTGAATTACAAACGGAAAGTTTGAGAAATATTAATAGAAGGCTCTGTAATTTCTCAGAACTAAAGTAAGTAAAACTTAAATATTTAATTCCTGGCTTTTAGACATAAGTCTATAAAAGCTAGATGAAAATTCTAAGAGTAGAAACTGTCTAAAATTACGGTAAATAACCAGCAGCAGTCTGTCCCTTCAATTAACCGTAAAGTTCACGCTTAGGAACATTTCCTTATCTTTACGGGTTCGAAATCGTTTACAACTGATATGGTTAAGAAACCATGAATGAAACTGTACTGTTTTGTAACCATCGACACTTAACATGTATTCAAAAAACACATAATATGTATCAAAAAACACATAACATGTATTCAAAAAACAGTTAACATGTATTCAAAAGCATAAAATATACTCTGAATATTGGTGTTACTTTAGAATTACGTTATGTTAAGATTTTCTTTAGGTAAATTGTAATATATGGAGTAATAATGTGGTTGAGTTGTGTTTTGTCAAATAAGGCATGGAATGTGGTTTAATTAATTTATCTCGTAGTGCCCTCTACTTACGAATGAGGAAAAATACCAGACTGTTGTGTTATGTGTTCATCAGCCTTAAGCTACTGCCATCTATGTTTGTATTCCAATTGTCCATGGTCCTAAATTGAAGAGTGCAAAACTCTGAAAACTCCTCATGTGTTGGAGTAACGGAAGAAATATTGTGGTGTCAACGGTAGGATTACAAGCCCCTATTCAACTGGTCATGAAATTGATAGTTTAGCCCTCGCGGCTAAAGTGGTATCCAGCTTCACAAAACTAAGTTGTTTTATGTTTTATAACGTATTAAGTACATACTTATTATTATAACATCATTAAGCATTCACTGTGTTCTTAAGCACTAGATGCTCGAAAATCAAAATAGAAATATTTAATCCATGTATGACTAAGCTTCCAGCTTCCGAAGAACGTGAGCTCGTATCCAACAGGCTGTGGACCAAGTTGACTCATATGAAACTTTTTGCTGCTAAACCGTAGAAGGTAATAACAATCAATAGATCAATAGACGATTTTCTTCACAATTAATAGTATAAATACCACCTTTCACGGTTATTTGACTATTTTGATTGAATAGGTAATGTAACCGTTTAACAAATTTGCATTGCCTATTCAACCATATATTCAACCATTAACTATTTACCTTATTTAACCATTTTTCGTTGGCAGTTTTAACCAAGCACCCTGATTTTGACTCGAAGATATCACCCTGCCTAAAATGGTTGTATGAAAATACTACGTAATTTAACTAAGAATTAAGATTTTAGTTTTGTACATATACACTATCTGGCCAAAATTATCCGGACATCCAGTGGTATTTTGAGCGTCCTAAGGAACATATTAATATTGGTCCCTCTTTTGCATCGATGGCTGTCTGCACACGTCTGGGAAGACTTACCGCCGATTTTCGGTAGGTGGACATAGCAATTGGCTTCCGTCACAAATGAAATGAAATGCTTGCAGTGAGGAGGGTCAATTTGGCTGGCTACGTAATCTGCTCTCTAATTCGTCCCAATGGTGTTCTATGGGATCTAGATCGGGGTTTAGAGAAGGCATGTCCCGTTTTTGAAAACACATTTCGCCACACCACGTTTGTTCAAGCCTCGATGTGTAAATGGAGCAGTTATCCATCTGGAAGAGAAATGGGCCTTCTCCGAGATATTGCCATGAAATTGGGAGTGCAGCATTGTCCAAAACGTCCACATAGTTCATGTTTCCCACTTGAGTTCATGTTTCCAGCCACAGAAACTATTTTAAATTTTTTTTTACGAAATTTACAACAAATAAATTTTGTAACTTTTGTAAGAAAAATTTTAAGTGCTCCTCACACTATTGTATTAATATATTTTGCTTTGGCTATATGGATACAATATCAGAAAGTACTTTTTTTTGTGGATATAATCATGCGGACTGATGAAAAGATTATATCTTTTATTGTCAGGATTTTTTAAAAAAATTTTATCCCTTTTTTTTCCCCAGTTGTTTTTTTTTATTATTATTTTTCTTTTCCCCCTTTTTTTCATATGTCTGTAATTTTCTATGTTTTATCTTAATTTTGAACTTATCTTATGAGTTCTGTTTACTTGCAGCTTATGCGCAATAAATGAAACTTATTGTTTTTCTTAATTTTCTTCGTGTTTTTTTGTATTTATTTATTTTGTTTTATATATATATATTTATTATAAGTTAAACTATAAGTTTAAAATAATACATTTGTGAAATTTAAATAACACAACTAATTTGTTAACTGGAATAAACTTAACTTACCTGAAGTTCAGACCAGCAAGAGAAGACGCAGGATTAGGAAACATTGTCCTTTTAAGTGTAGAAATCTCGTTATTCTTAAGATTTACATATTTCAAGGAGTTGCTACTAGCAAATGCCTCATCATGAATAAAACTAATTCTATTGTAAGAAAAGTCAACAGTTCTCAAAACCGGAAATTTTATTTTTCCCAAATCTTCTATATCCTCAAGCACTCCCCTTTTGATTTCCAATATTTTAAGATTTTTCAATTTACTTAAAACTGACCAACTCCATTCGCTTAAAAGTACGCAACTGTCCATTCTGAAAGTCTCTAGATGGTCTTCAAGACCTTCAAATGCAAAATCACTGTCTGTCAAGGCCATAAGAGTAGAGTTTTTAATCTCTAACTCAGCAAACTTCAGTCCTTTGAAAGTATCTGATGATATAAAAGTGAATACCGAGTCTCGAATGGAAAAGGACAGAATGTAATTTTTCCCAATAAGCGATTTGGCTGCAGTTATTAAGTCCTGATTGTTCTCCAATTTATCACAAGTTATCCAATAGTTGTCGCTCGTTTCATCCCAATTGCAGATACAGGGATACAAAGCTTCTGGTCTAGGACAAGCACTTGCACTGAAGCAATATATAAACAAAATAAATACATTGAATAACAACATTGTTTTAGTTCAAAAATGCAAACTTGAAATAAAAGGCTTCTTCATTCACTGGAAGCAAAGAGTTTCTTTTATCTTGAAAGGGTGATATAAATTCTGATAAGCATCGAAACATCTGAGCATTTTCTCTTCATTTGTTCTACCCAACTGACATATTAAAATTTATAGAAATTTGTTTTTGTTCTGTTTTGAAAATTATTTTATAATTAATTTAATTTTTTAAGGAGAGATCCAACCTGAAAATGATGGAAATGGATCACTAGTTTACAATTATGTTGTTTTCTTTCCAATCTGAAAAATCATCTTGTTTTAAGTGGTTAATGTGTATAGTGCGTTTAAATTTTCCATTTTAAAACCTCATAGTAAAGACAATAATAAAACAAAATAGCAAGATGTTTATAGAAATATTCAAAACAAAATAAGATTTTTCGAAACGAATAAGATTCCACAACTAATTTTTCTTTTCTGAAAATAAAATTTTCGTGTTGTTTATTTTTTCAGTTGCTAACACTGGAAAGACTGAAACTTAGTATGTACCTATATTGCCCAAAAACAGTCAAAATGATTGGATTGTGAAAGAATATCTAATCTGTAGAGAAATTTGTTTAAAATTAATTTTTAATATTTTTTATATTATTTACAGTTATATAACAAGTTAATAGTAAATATTAACAATAAAAAAAATTATATGTTGTACAAAAAGTCACAAAATTCTCAGAAATTGTGTCATTATATACAACATTGTTTTTCTAATTGAAATTAAAAAGCAGTCAAAACGACATCCTTGGACAATCTAGTGTTAATATGGATAAAGTGATATATCGTTTTATCTAAAGATGGCTATTAAATTTGTAAAAAAAATATATAATCTATTAAACTCGCAAAAAATTAAATATTTTCCGTGTATTCTTAAAAATAAATACAATCACTTACAATTTGTACGATTCTAAGTATTTTCATGAAAGCCTAGAATCAATTTGCCTCACCAAAAAAAATTTTTTTTCATGTTCTTTCATCCATTTTTGAGTTAACTTAAGAAACCTAATTTCTGCTTTTTGAACAGTAGTTCAGTAACTTAGGTTTGAAAAAGATTTTGCGAACCATGTTTGCATTGACAGGAAAGCGATTAATGATCAACCGTGTCTTAGTGCTGTAATTGTTATTTTAGAAACAAAATTGTCCTAATATACTTAAAAATAATTGATTTCACTATTTTACAGTGACTTTTATTGAAAGTTAGGATGTATAGTACTTTTTTCCTTTCCCTCCCTCTAGAACGAAATAATGAAAAGCAATTGTGCACATCTAACTGTAAAGTAACAGAAAAAATTTATAACAGGTTATTTATAAATATAAACGAGGTGTTTCTTACCATTACTCCATACTACCGCAACTTCTTTTATAAAATGTGTCCAATATCAAAGTTCCTTTAACATTAGATTTTTTAATTTTTTTAATGATTTATTTTTGAAAATTAAAAAATATCTTACCAAAATTAAACTTGCCACTGGAAAATTATAAAATATTTGTCGGATCATGAAGTGCTTAATAACAGTATTAACAATAAAATCAATTCAATAAATTTCCACGTTTAATGAAAAATTACCTGGTTACATTGAAAACAAAGTTCATGTGTAAAAGAAAGAAGATTTGCCGCTTAATAGGATAAATAATAACCGAAAACCAACAATTAGTAATCAGTATAGTATACATCTGTTGCATCAAATTATTATATAAATACCTATGCATATACATAGTTTTATACTAATGCTTCCGGCCGTAGGTAGGAGCAATAACATTTTTGTATTTGACAACGTATACATCAATATATTAATTTAATAAATGCACCACAGATCTTTCGACGTAAGCGATTGTATGTTCCTCCCTTTTAAGGCTTGGGGATTTGCACACGCAGCTCGTATAGCTTTTGGCTGCTTTGTATTCAAAATCCAAGTCATCCTGCAATCACATCTTAGCTCATTTCCTGAAAAAAAATGATAAATATCGTTTAAAACTATATATCATTATACTTATAGGCTTGTATTCTTAAATTACAGAGGAAATATATATAAAAAATAAAAAAAATGCCTCTTCAACAGCGAGTTATTATTCAATGTAAGTTAAGGCTCCACAATTTTAACACCAATGTTCTGGCAGTTCCAATGGGTCAGCATTGCTACCTAACCCATCTGTAGGCCCTGGTTTCATGAGATTTCTTAACAGATCTTAGATCTTTTTTATCGCTTATTTCAAACCCGCAATTTGTTTCTCTTTCCAAACTACAGTTTTTTTAATGACTTTTTACTTTATTTTTTGTCGAAATGTTCAAGTTTGAAAACGTTGTATATAACAGGGATCGCATAAATGCTGAGACAAATTTCTAGGATTTGTTAAGACACATCATCGGTATTAAAATTGCATTGGAATTGAAGCCCAGAAATGTCATCCTACACCGCTAAGGGCGCTTCCCGATTACGAACTGTTTCTTCCTGTGCTCTTCTAGGGAAATGCACCTAGCGACGAGTGATGACATTTCCAAGCAGGGATTCTATGAATTTTAATTCTAAGGATGTGCCCCAACTCCTCTAGAATTTTGTCGACATTTAGGTGAATCACAGTTATGTATAACGTTTTCAAACTTGTACATTACGACAAAAAGTAGACTAAAAAAAAGTCCTTTAAAAAAAGCTATATCTTGGAGAGAGAAACAGATTGCGGGTTTGAAATAAGCGATACGAAAGGATTTAAGATCTGTTAAAAATCTCATGCAACAGATACATGTCAGGACGTATTGTCTGTAATGGCTTGCACATTTCAATAAAAAATAGACCTGAAATGTCATTTGAAAAACTGCAACTTCAGGGGTAAAACTAATGTGTCAGATTCGGAATCCCCACTCAAGAATTTGCTGGATTAAGTATTTGTATAAATGCAACAAAAAATTTATTGCTTAATGTTTTATGTATCCGTTTTAAGAGAGCATATTCAATATTACGCTTTCAAACGAAAATATGCCCTGTATTATGCGCATGATATTACACATTTATTTGCATTTTACTAAATGCAAACTAACGATTCGAGGATAACTAAAATATAATATATTTTGTACGCAATTGTATAAAAATATAATGTGTAAAATATTTTACCCATTGCTTCAAAAGTTTCCAATTGACTCCATATAGACGAAAATATCGTTTCTCCAATAACTAGTATTTTATTTCCACCAATGCTGAGATTTTCCAATTTCGGCATATTGCTAAACATATCGTCAGGTAACTGTTCAATTTCGTTGTGACTGGAAAGAAGCATTCACTACAAAGTTATACATTTTCATTATGAAGCAGTATAAATACATAAAGTGAAATTTTTAGCTATTTTTGCTGTCAAGTTAATCATATTTGATCAGAACTAACATTATATATTGAATGTTAGAATTAGGATGACATAAAGTATACAACCCAGCTAAAAATAAACTGCATATTTTTTTAAGAAAATTCAGTTCTGTTGAGACTTAAAAAGACTGTTGTGATTTAGACAATTCTAAAACAGAAGTTTTGAGCTCTAAGAACTACAAAATTATTACAATTTGTGAACTGCAATAATTTTAGAAAGGTACAACCTCAAACATTCTACAAGGAAAAGAAATTCTGATGAAATTACCGTGTTGTATGGTAAAAACATTTCTGGTAAAAAGAAAAAAAATCATAATTCTGGTAATGAAACTAAAATATTATGGTATTTAAACCATTTAAGTGGTAATTGTTCCATTCATAAATATAACGGTTTACTTAAATTACTAGTTTTCAATATACTGGTCCTTATTATCACACAACTAGTAAAAATACCAAACGGGAAAATAAAGTGAACCAAATAAATGGGTTTTTATGTCATACTCTATGGTGTGATAAAATTACAAAATTTTAGCATATTTATCAAATTTTGAAACATATTATAAAATGGTATTTTAGGGTTAATTTGACCAAAAGTATTACCAAAGTGCTTCGATAAAAATTAACGAGCTTTTATGTTGTTCCCATAGAGCCAGAAACCCGGTAAATTTTACAAATTTTACCGAAATCTTGTATTTTTGACTATTACTTTTTTCCTCAGTGTACAATAAATATATACAGTTTTATTAACCTCAAATCTGCAGTAAATATTCAGTTGTATTGACATTGGTGGGTATTTTATTTACGTAGCACTAGAGCTAAACAATGGACTATTGGCGACGGTCTGGGAAACATCCCTGAAGATGATCCGAAGACATGTCATCACAATTTTGACCCGCTGCAAAGGGGTGGAGTCAGGTTGAGGTTGAGTTTTGTCAAATAAAATAAACCATTGAATGGGACTTCACTAGTTTATCTGGTGATGCCATCTATAGTCAGAGATGGGAAATACTGGAAATACTTTTTTTAGCTCTGCAGTGCTGCCATCTATGCCTGAATACGAGATTTGTATCCTAATAGTTCAGATCTCCGATTGGAGAGCGCAGGACACTTGAAACTCTTCATGTGTTGAGGAAATGTAAGAAACATTGTGTTGTCAAAGCTGGAATTCGAACCCAATTTAGTTGGTCATGAAATTGATAGATTCACCCTCCTGGCTACAGTATATTCTCAGTTGCAAAGAGCTAAGCGGCTTTATAATGTGAACCCAGTTGCGCGGATGAAATTCTGGTTGTTTAACAGTATAATGTGAAAAGGGTAAATAACAAATTTTCTCACGGCTAAAAGTTTGAATATCATCATTTTTTTTATAGTTATTTAAGTAATTTGGTTGAATATGTTAAAATACAAATTGAATAAGTTGTTGTTTAATCATTTTTCTGAGATTTAACTTATGATTAAAGCCAATTCTTGTCTTATACGTTGTTTGCCTCAGTTTCTAGAATTGTCGTTCTTTTTTTAAATTTTTATAATGTATTTTATTTAAAAAAAAGAGAAGTTTATAAGTCTCTAATCATTTATGTTTAAGTGAAAATACTGTTAACATATTTTTTTAAGCAAAGTTATTTCTTTAATTTTAAAAGATTAATTTTTACATAATAAAAGAAATTTTCCTTAGATGATATAAAATTATTTAAGACAAATTTCAAAAACAGTCAAAAATTTATGGATGAAAATTATGAAGAGGTTTATCAATTAAGCCAAAAAAATCTGAAAATAAATATTCATATTTCAATTCAGTAAACTCATATGATGTGAAGTTGTTTGAAATCCGAATTATAGCAAAATGTAAAATGTAAAATGTAAAATGTAAAATTTAATTTATTTGGATTCGACAACATAATAAGTCCGATTTTGATTCTGAAATAGCTTTAGTTTAGCATGAATTCGAACAAAAAAAAATTCATAAATTTACATTTTGCTATAATATTGTTCGTTACATTTTGCTATATATTGTATTTAATTTATTTGGATTCGACAACATAATAAGTCCGATTTTGATTCTGAAATAGCTTTAGTTTAGCATGAATTCGAACAAAAAAAAATTCATAAATTTACATTTTGCTATAATATTGTTTTCACCATAACTTTGAGTAAAAGTAATTTCTTCAAGTCAAAAATAAAAAAATATATATAATAAATCTAAAATTTTGAAACATTTAAATGCTTAACTTAAAGAAAATTTTAAAATAATTAAATTGAGTAGAAATGTTACTTAAAAATTTTCAATGCTTCAGAATATTAAAATAACTAAAATTATGCTAAATATGTATTTTACATATATATTATTTATAAAGATTGTGTGCGTTATCTTCATCCTCAATCTATCTTTAGAATATTTAGAATACTTACAAAAATCTAAGAAATTAATAATCAGTTAATATTCGATCAAGAATAAAAATCAAAGACTTTATAAATAGTTCAAAAACTATTAACGAGGAAAGCGAGTTTTAAGACGTCAAAATTCGTTTGATTGCTTGAAAGATCTCTTTTACAACAATGCAAAATAGCCGCAGTTTTTCTACAGATACATCAGAAAAGACCGCTCTAATGACCAAACTACAGGGACCATATTTCCCACATATCCAACTAAAAAAAGGGATGTTTATTCAGCGAAAGTACGTTTCTGTGTCAGGTTTCATAATTTAAAATATCGTCTGTACTAATTAATTAGCATATTTGAAGTCACCCCTTCGAACTATTAAGATTGAGTCCTATAACCTGAAGATCTGATCAAACGTTATTCAGGGTGGCCCGTTTTTTATTTATCGCACTATACAATTCAAAATTAATTGTGCTTTACTTTTATATAAAACTCACTTAAAAAAAAACAAGCAAAAACAAAATATACGGACTTACTTTAAATCTATATGTATAAGTTCTGGTGCAGGATTAGGAATCATTGTTCTCTTCAATATCGATATTTTATTATTTTTGAGTACAACAATCATTAGTTTCTCGCAGTTAGAGAAGGCTTTATCATCAATGAAATTAATTTTATTTTCCGCAAAACTAACCGTTTTCAAATTTTCCAAATTTATCTTTCCCATATCTTCAATGTTCTCCAAAGCGCCATTTTCTATTTCTAATGTACTTAGTTTTTTCAACTTCCGAAACATGGACCAGTCCCATTCACTCAAGAAATCACAATTCTCCATTCGAAAAATCTCCAAATGGTCTTCCAAACCCTCAAAAGCCACATCTGTATCTGTCAGAGCCCTCAAAGTGGAGTCTTTAATTTCTAATTCGACGAACTTTAACCCCTTAAATGCACCTGAAGATATGTAATTGAAAGCTGAATCCTGAATGGTAATTGAATAGATGTAATTTTTTCCAATTAGTGATTTGGCTGAAGTTGTCAATTCTTGATCATTTTCCAGCTTGGAACAAGTGATGTAAGCGCTACCCTCTACTTCTGGCCCATCACAAATGCAAGGGAGCAAATCTTCTTTCCTAGGACATGCATTTGCACTTAACAAAAATAATAATAATGATAAGATTAGTGTATTGTACTTCATTATTCGTCTCTTTCTTGAGTAAAATAAGATCAAAATTAAGAAGCTATTAAACAATGATTGTATTGTTTATTTTCTTTTATCTGTGCCGAAAAAAATGTGCCATTTTGTCAGATAAGTTCGAACACCTGATCATTTTCCCATGATCATTTTTACGCAATTCGTCAATTTTTCGTATCTGATAATAGACCGTTCTGGTACTTTTTCTCATTTATTTATGCACATTATTACAATTACGTTACTTTCTTTATTCTTTAGAACACTTAAAACCTTTTCATAGAGTTTTTAAGAACCGTTGATATCTGATAAATATATGTTTTATTATTATTGTATAAATGTGTACTCTATTAATAGTTTTATTTTTATCTGTTACATTAATAAATAAAAAAACATTTGAAGTTCAATTCTTTAAAGAACAAACTTTTTTTAATGCATTTAAATTATTTTCACACTGAACGAGAGCAAACTCTTTTATATGACTTTTCTCATTTTAAATCAAAAAAACTCTTGAAAAAAACTTATAATTTTTATTTTATAAAACTTTTATACACATGTAAAATCAAGTCTGAAAATCGATGACTCTTTTTCTTTAAGTTGAACAACAACCGAGAGTTGAAACAAACGTAACTACAAGATGAACAGAAAAAAAATTATGTAAACTATTACATAAACATTTCCACAAAGAATAACGTATGAGTCGTGGTAGCTCAGGGGATAGAGCGTTTTCCTTCCAATGAACCTAGTTCGAATCCTAGTGATAGTTGGTTGATACGAATTCTGCCCCCGACCACTGTGCAGGCATAAAATATCCTCAGTGGTAAACGGATCATGAGTTAGGAGTCTCCTTCCCGTCAGAGTAACCATGGGAAGTGTTCATAGTTTCCCTTTCCATGTAACGCAAATGTGAGTTAGTTCCATCAAAAAGTCCCACAAAGACAAATTTCTCCAAAAACTAGATCCAACAGTTCCCTTGTCTTCTGGATTGGGTTCAAAATTACATGGCTGCGTAGTTGAACATTAGTAGTCATATACCCAAAATTAGGTTGGCTGTCCAACAAAGGTTATAACAAACTAAAATAAAATAAGTAAAAAAGGGTAAGTTATGTTACAAAAATAAATCTTCTAACGCTTTACAGAGTTGAAATTCAAATCACAGATTTGAGTTAACATTCAACACTTTTCATCTTCCGAACTTGATTTTTGGAGGTCATTCTATGCTTCGAAAAATTCTAATAATTTAGTTGATGATCTTGCTAGTATTCCACCATTTCTCAATATTTGGAAATCAATTTTAATTTCATATGTTGCACCCTGGGACTCCAGCCAAATTTTCTCACACCTCTTTCTTATCTCAATTTTTATTTTCTTGTTCAAACTTGTTCATCTGTCCTTATAAAAAGTTGAGTCAAAATAATAAGAAGAACTGCATTCATAATTTGCTTTTGTCCAATTTTGCATAGTTGAAAAGTAATAATATTTTACCTATAATGAAACAACGAACCAAAATCTAAATGAATTTTAGACATATATTACAAAATTTTTAAAAAACTGCGATTTTATAACTAAGATTGGTTAAACTACTTTACACTTGTTTGTCTCTTTACTTACTCTACCATTATTCGGTGCTTAGACACTGCGGAAAGTTCTTGTTTATAGAGCTGAAACTATAGTATGTCCCTAAGCGTGTGCTTTGTCCATTTATGTACTTTCATCTGTTCTTTAAGCGGGCTGTTTTTCGCTTTAACATAAATATTTTGCTATCCGGCTTCTTCGAATAACTGAAGATGCGGAACTCCCGAAACTATAGGCCATATCATCTTTCTATACCCTCCCTACGAATATCAAAAAATACAAAAATAGTTAGTTAATTCACACGTTGTAAAATCATTAATAATAATATTTCCCTTTGAATTTTATTTTTGTTTACATACACACCACGAAAACTTTAAATATAGCTGTGAACTGCCAAATAATACATTAAAACAAACAAAAATAACTACATAATAAAAGCCATCACAACATAAAATCGAAACCATCAAAAAATATCATGAACAATAAGCAACTGGCTACGCTAGAAACAGTTTTATATGAAAATAAGAAGTGTCAAAAATATTTTTCATGAACTAAGACTCATTAGAAAAATTAGTGCATGCTGTAGAATTATTTCCTTTTATAAATATTGATATCCAAATTGATCCTATCATAAACATTTTTTTATAATATTGATTTCCACAATTGAAATATTCTTATAATATGTCTTGATGTCCATATATAAAATATTATTACAATATTGATGTTATGAATGGAAATTGAATCAATATGAAGTAACTATTTAAAACTGTAAGCAATATTAGAAATTAATTTATCTATTTGACAGAAACATTTAACAAGTATTTACAGTAATCAAAAATAGAAATGAATTTTAAAAAAACAAGCTTGTAGCTAGAGATTACTTAGCGAAATAATTGGGATTCAATTTTATCTTAATAGAATTGGGTACACAACATACGAGTCCAAATAAGTGTGTTAATACAGTAAAAAAAGTTTTATCAGTTTATTTAATTTTTCCTTTTGATGTATTAAGCTGTTTAGAGTCAAAAACCAATAATGGTTGTATAGCATTCGTAGGGGTAGACGGACGTAGCGAGTTGTCTTAGTATCTAATAAATGCACCACAAATCTTTTGATGTAAGGGACGATACGCTCTTTCCCTTTAAGACTTGAGGATTAGCACATGTAGCTCGAAGAGTATTTGGCTGTTTTAATTGCAAAATCCAAGTCATTCTGCAGTCACATCTAAGCTCATTTTCTAAAAAGAAAAAAAAATTAAATTATTTATAACTGCATTAAATTACTTAACACTTTTTAAAGTGTGTAACTCTATCGACTTACAAAATTATTTAAAAAGAAATTATAAAACACAAAAGAGGCAAATTTGGCAGGAGCATTAAGAAGTCTTTGAAAAATGCAAAAGAAATTTAAATGATATCAATTAAAAGTTTAAATCATAAAGAGCTATAAAAAGTTGGGTCAAAAAAATAAAGAGAACTTGATTCAAAATTTTCTTTTGTCCAATTTTCAATAATTGCGGAGTATTAATATTTTAACTATTATGAAACAACGAACCAAAATCTAAATGAATTATAAACATATATTACAAAAGTTTTTTTAACTATGATTTCAAGGAAGTAAATTCTAGGCGAAGGGGGACAGGATTTTGAAGTTAACGTAAGTTCAGTAAGAACGTGATGCGTATTAGATATAACAAAATAAGTATTATTTTTTCTTAAGTTCACTTTAAAATTTCAGATAATTTCATGCTTTTGAGTTTAGTGCCTGTTCATGTCGAAAAATGTCTTAAGTTTGGTGATAAAATGAAAACACATTTTACTTGCGAAATTTAGGAATCAATTTTATCTTGTATTGATATCAGGTATGCAGGTTGAGTTAAAATATAAGCTCTCTAGCTTATTGAAATTTGGTCAAAATTTGGATTGATGATTGATTCTATTTTTAAAACTTCTGCGTAGGGTAGATAAAAAATTATTGAAATTGGTATTTTCATTCAGTATGAAACTGCTGTTGAGTTTTTCAACATTCTATCTAGACAGAAAACTTCTAAGTTTCAATTGACAATAAATTCCGTTGTGGACGTGTGTATTGCTTTCAATATCAGATTCTCCGTTGATACATCACAACTTCAAATCTATTTTCTCAAAATCAAATTTATTAAACTATTAAATGTCATGGTGTAATTTCTAAATAGTATTAAATTTTAAATATCATAATACCAGCGGAAAAATTAATAGAATAGATTTTTTTTTAGAAAAATTCAAAAAATAAAACAAAAATTAAAAGTTTGTATTATGCAAGGAAAAAAATTTTTTTTAATTATTTTGCTGAAATATTGATCTGAAGCGAGTTAGTAAGGAACCACGAAATCAAAAAAAAAATTCATTTTAAAACATAAAATTAGTTTTCGTTAACAACAAGGAGCTTGGTATTTGTCGCCATTAGTAAAATGTGAAAAAAAAATTCACTTAAAATTAATGTAAGTCAGACATAAATCAAAATAAATCGTTCATGTTATCTTTAGAAAGAGATGTGTAAATATTTTATTTCACAGTCTTTAAAAAAGGACTGAGAGGAAATATCAGTTATCAAAGACATGAACGTAACATGCGAATTTATATCAACAAAAAGGAATACGACGGATTTTTCGCATTTTCTTTGCTCCTTGTTTTTTTTAATTGCCATGTCCAAAAGCTTTTAAATTCATTTTCATATTTCATTTCGAGAAGCAAAGTTGTTTTTTTTAGAGAAAAAAAGAAAACTCTGGATGGAAATCTACTTGATCTACAAATTTATTGGATTGTTAAAAAATAACATTTTTTAATTTAACTCCACATAATTTCTACTTCTTATTGATTTAAAAGACATATCGCATTGTTAAAGGCTTTAAAAAATTTGGAAATAGTAACCAAATTAAAAAATCAGCTGTGTAATAAACGAAATGCGCAATTATAATTAAGGAATTAAAATTTTCAGATTACTTTACCAAATGCTTCAAAGTTATCCAATTGTCTCCATACAAGTGAAAAGACTTTCTCGTTAAGAACCAATATTTTATTTCCTCCAACACTAAGATTTTTCAATTTTGGCATATTACTGAATATATCATCTGGTAGCTGTCCAATCTCGTTATAACTGAAAAAGAAAGTCAACAATAAAATTACGTGAAAGCATGCTTTAATACTAAGCCCATCTTGCTCATTTCGAGAAATGGAACTTCAATTCTAAAGTATCTTGTGTGGTTTATAGTTTCTTCAGTTTTGTAACAAGTTGTGTACAAGTAGAATAAATAGATTTGACAATTTTTTTTCACCCGAGAGCAAACGAAAAGTCGCCAAACAATAAAAACCACCGCCAACTTTTTTTTTTCATTTTTTTTAATTTATTTATTTTTTTAAGCATATAAATATTAAATATAATGAAATAAAAAAATAATTAAATTTTTTTGAGCCCGGGTAACCGAAAATTACAAGACTGACTTGTATGAACATGAAGCTAAGCCTAATTCCGTTTTTTATTAAGTAGAATTGGACCACGATACAAATAAGTCCTGTATACGAGTATATTAATATACATATACTCGTATTATAATGCACACCATGTTGCATTCAAATACTAAATTCAGTCTGTTCCTAAAATATTTTGTATCACTTATGAACTAAAATACTCCCTTCCAAATCGTATTTTACATAAAAGTAGCTTAAGCAAATGGTATTATGTGCAGAAACACCCTTTGCTTAACACAGTATCTGAGTTCAATAATTCTGATATTACGTACAATTTTCAGCTTTCACCATATCTTCACAAAATTACACGTAGGTAAAAGGAAAATTAATAGACACAACATCATTAAGGATATAGTATTAGACTTAACAGGTTAATTTGTATTAAGAGATCATTTTCAACATTAAAATAACAAACAATACTGGAATTCCAGCGGTTTCTGATCAGCATGAATTCCGCAGCCAGCTTGCACCAACCACAGTGCTGACGTAAAATATCCTCAGTGGTAGACAGATCATGGGTTACAGTCCCCTTGCCGTCAGGCTAACCATGGGAGGTTTTCATGATTTTCCTCCCTATGTAATGCAAATGCGGGTTAATTTCATTAAAAAGATCTCCACGAAGTCAAATTTCTACCAATACTTGATCTAGGAGTTTCCTGCTCTTTTAGATTGGGTTCAAAATTGCAAGGCTACGGAGTTGAACATTAGTAGTCGTAAACCCGAAAATTGGTTCTGCTGATCAACAGCGGTTATGGAATAAAATAAAAACAATGCTGGAATTTTTGCTTAAAAATATTTTGAACATAAAGTAAAGTTTGCACATAATAAGAGAACTTTGTTTAAAGAAATATAGAAGGCAAATGCAATAATGAAAATTTTCTCCAGCTGTAATGAAATGTCTATATTCAACTTATGCACTTTTTTGCACCAGTTCCAAACGCCTGATATCACAAAACTTATATATACTTATATAATATATTGACTTATTCTCAACGGTAGGGGGCAGTAATTTTCGAAGTTCCGGTAGAGGACTTGCTTGTATTGATTTTTATTTCTTTTTTTAGCATCGTCTTTTGACTTATTTTTTTAATACAATTATTTGTTTTGATGTCAAAAATTTTTTGTCAGTTGCTCTGCTTTCTGAAGGGTTTGCTTATTTTTTTAGATTAGATGGTAAATACGAAATCGTGATTTCTCTCCTTATGCTTTAATAAGCAGACGAAATTGCCCAAGTTCTGAATATTTTTAAATTTTCCCACAACCCCTTTTAAAAAGAAGAAATTCAGAAAACAAAGTATGCTGAACTTACTTTAAATTTATTTCCTGAAGCTCCGATGCAGGATTAGGAAACATTGTTCTCTTCAGTGTAGAGATATTGTTATCATTAAGAAAAACATGCACCAATTTTTTGTTGTCTGAAAAAGCATCATCATGTATGAAATCAATTCTATTTCCAGGAAAACTTAGTCTCTTCAAATTTGACAAATTTATCTTTCCCAGATCTTCAATGCTTTCAAGAGCACCATGTTTGATTTCAAGCGTATTTAATTTTTTCAAATTTCGAAATATAGACCAGTCCCATTGGCTTAAAAGCACGCATTTATCCATTTTTAAAGTCTCTAGGTGTTCTTCCAAGCCTTTAAAAGCAACATCTGAATCTGTTAAAGCCATTAGAGTTGAATCTCTAATTTCCAACTCTGCGAACTTTAGTCCTTTAAAGGTATCTGAAGCTATGTAATTAAATGCCGAATCTTGAATGACAATGGAATTGACGTAACTCTTACCAATTAATGATTTGGCGGATCTTAGTAAATCCTGATCGTTTTCTAGCTTGACGCAAGTGACGGAAGCACTATTCCCTGATGTCTGCCAATCACAAGTACAAGGATACAAGTCCTCTTTTCTAGGACATGCATTAGTACTTAAGCAAAATAAGAATAGAATTATTGTACTGTACTTCATTATTGTTTTCATTTGTTAAAGCAGATGAAGAATAAAAAGCTTTCAAACAATATTTGTAAGATATATTACTTTTATCAGATAAGTTTCAAATCTTTTTTTCTCGATCTTCTACGCAACTCTGTATTTTTAATGTGATTGATAACAAATTATCGCGATAACATTTCTACTATTTTTATAGAAAATAGCGTATTTTTATTGTTTTGTAAACACAATTCCTTTCCTCGTTTTGTTTCATTGAAAAAAAATATTCAAAACTTTTTTACCTTTAAGGAACTTACTGGTGCAAAGAAAATGTAAAATTTTTCAATAAAAAAATTTTCAATTTTTCGTCCGAATATTTGTATGAAAAAATAATTCGCAACTGTTGTTACATAGTTTTTTGCAGTCAATTATTCCAGTTTTTATTTGTTTTATGAACTCATTCGACCATTCACTGATTCACTTTTCCCCTTATTTAATAAATATATAAATCACTAATACATCGATTCATTTTTTAGCCGATTTCCTGCCTCATCCATTTTATGATTCCCAATTTCTCCAATTAACGAATTTAATTATGTTCAAACTGAATCTCTGATTCTCCTGCTTTTTCCCCTCAATCATTTTTTTTTTAATCGCTTTGTCAAAAATCATTTAAACTAACAGTTTGCATGGAAACCCGCTGCTCAATCAAAAAATATTAAATGACGTTTGCTATTAAATCAAAATCGCTAATATACATAATTAATTAATTTTTTTATATAGGGCTTCTACTCCCTGTTCACTGCTACTCGTCAGTCCCTCAAAATAATTATTTCTTACCCACAATTCTCTGCAGTTTCACCACGCACATAATAACTACTTTACTTTTATTATTTGTTTATTTATTACTTTTAAACAATTTAGATTGGATAAGAGCCTATGCTATCACCTGTTATTTGAAATCTGACAAAATTGTTTCTTTTTTTTTATATATTTATTGTGACTCCCAATCTAATTTTTTCAAATTATTTCTTTTTCGTATTTTATTATGTCTTTATTATTAAAAAGTTATATCTGTTACTATATCTGTTACCATTTTAATCAAATAATTAAAAAAAATAATTCTATGTTCGTTTCCAACTTTATTCTATGAGCGTTAAAGTAGACTGTAAAAAATAATTGTACATTTCTCACAGGAAAAACATATTTCTTACAGAAAATAACTGATTTTTTCTGTTTTTATCCGTTTTTCGCGAATTACAAAAATTACCCGTTCTTTCTTCAAACTTTTTCTGTATATTTGAAGTTTTAAAGCTGTTTTGTTGAGAAAACGGTTTTTCTCTGTTTTTCAACCTAAGCATAAACAGATTAAAACTGTCAATTCAAATTCTAGTTTTTGGTATGCAGTTTTGCTTACCATTGGATAACTCTATTTTTGTTTTCGTTTTTTTTCAAATCGTTTCATGGTAAATTATAATATGTGTGCTTACTTTTAAGCAATTACTTTATGGTTTTGAACATTATATAAAAAAACTGTGATTTGATTTTATCGAAAAAAAATTTACTTTACCTAATTATCATGTTATTTTAGATATAATTGTTTTGGTAAGTTACTTTGCCTGAAATTTTTAAACGGGTGAGCCACTACCATTTTAAATGTTTTTTCACTTAAATATTATTTCAAGAGGGGAGAGTGGGGTCAATTGCAACAGGGTACGATTGTGACAGAGCGAAAATTTCGAGTGACGGGATCTAGATTTGGTTCCTAGGTGGCGCACAAGGTGTATTTAATAAATCTACGTGTACACCCCTCCTGGAAACCATTTTTATGTACTTTTGAAAGAGTTTCACCAAAGATATTTTCACACTACGTAAGTACTTTTTTTGGTATTAGAATATTATATTGTAACAAAGTAATTTTGCTAAAACAAATAAAAATTATTGACCGAATATGTAAGTGGACACCTTAATTAACATTTCAAAAAAAAAAGATTAGATTTGTTATTTAACTAGCATTGTTTTTAACAAATGAAGCTGAAATGGCGTCTTGGGGACGATTGTAACAATAAGTAAAGGGAGGATTGTAACAGTTGAAAATAAATAATCCTATGTTTACAAACCATTACTTGACTCTTTAAGAACCACCAATAGTTTCCTATATCATTTATATTATGTTGCTTTTCTTCATTATTTTATTTGTCACCTTTCACAACATAAATTTAAATTTTTAACCCCTTAAAGTGAAAAGTTTAACCCCTTAGTTCTCTGCTCATTATTATTTTTACTCCTAAAATATCACTACTATTTTGATCAATAAAAAAATATATCACAACTATGATAATATGTATAATTAACTATGTTTTAGTTAAATTTATGAACTGTTACAATTAACCCCGTAAGTGGGGACCATTGTAACAAGTGCACGACTGTCAAAAATTTTTAATAACTAATATAATAACATTTAAAATAAGGTGTTTTTTTTCTAGTAGAGGATAGTCTACTTTACTCGTCTGTCAATTAATACTAATAATATATTGGATTTTTTGTTAGTTAAAAATAGTTAAGTAAAAAATGTTACGATTGACCCCACTCTCCCCTAAGTAATGCTTTAAGATAACAGTTCAAGATTTTTCTTCCTACAGAAACACTAAAACAGCGGTATCTCACAGCACAAAAATCTTACCTCTGAATAAGGTGACCCAGGTTCGAATCCTAGTGACGACTATTTGTATGAATGCTGATCTCGGCTCCCTTAGAACTCAGTGGTATTTTATAGAACTTTTTTCAAAAAAATAACCAAGTTTGTCTGTTAGAAAGAAATTTGTTAAAATAACAATAATCATCTGCTAAAAAGACAGACGTCTGTTTTTAAATAACAGTATATTTCTGCGAAATGAAAGGCTTTATGCTGGCATAACAGCTCATAGCTTTTATCCGTAAATTTAACAGATTTTTATTACAAAGAATATCTTTCATTTAAACTAAAATTATTTATTTTTATATCCCTTTTTCTCACTTTCTATCAATGGATGCTGAGAAAAGTTTTGCACGTGTAAAAATGTATGTTTATATTTTAATTCAATTATAAAATAAACAAAAAATAATTCAATTTCAAACTTCCTTTACGAAAATAAGATTATATGTTTACCATTATTATAACTAATGTTAAGCAGGTTTTGTTGATTCTCCTGCTCAGAAAATTCAGGTCGAAAAAAAAAGCAAATATTGCGTCATTTTTTAGATGGATTGATAAATGAATGCGCATTCATCACCAAGTCAGAAAGAATAAATGTGCCTAAATTAACATATAAAGAATGCAAGCTAGATAAACATTATTAACCTATGACAACGTGTAACAAATTCACCACTTGGCTTCAGCAATAACACACCAAGATTCAAATCGTGGTGCACCTGGTGCAGCTGAAATCACAGGAACCGTAAAAACTATGGACGTCTCTTGCCCATATCGTTTCAGCATTTGATGTTATAGCGCAAATCAGCCCTATTAATCATTGCAACTGCGTCAACGAGGTTTCGGAAATTTTTGTTTGAGTGCAAAATATTCGTCAACGCTGCTGAAGTGCTTGCGCTTCCTGCTTTGTGCGTCTTCGTTTCCAACTTTTTCGAAATTATGATGATCCTTGTAAGAAGAACGATGAAAGTTTGTGAGTCTGCCTTTCTTAGATTTTTAAACTAAACTACTTTTTTTTTAAAAAATTCTAAAACTTTTAGTTCTCATATTTTTTTCTTGAAATTTTATAACAGGGCTGCAAGTGTCCGAAAAAAATGCAAAGTGTTCATAAAGTTATAGTTAAATTTAGCGAAAACTTATCGTTTCACTTACTGTCAAAAAAAAAATACAAAATTTTTTGAACCAAATTACTTAAATTTTAAAAAAAAACTTTTAACTTACTAAGATTTTTTGCTTGATTGCGTTTCTATGTTAAGTTTCAAGTTTCCAAAAAAATTAGAAAGGTTAACAAAGTTATGATTAATTGAATGAAAATTTCTCTTTTTAGCTACCGCAACTTTCACAATACTCCCCATAGCTGGATTTTTTTTTCAGAAACTCTCAGCCTTAAAATATCGCATTATTTTACATCAAAAAATGAATATTTAAATATTATTGTGAACATATGATTAATTAAAAATTTTAAGATAAATTTATGTTCAACTGCTTACTTTTCAATTAGTTTGCAAAATAAATTTTACAGCAATTTTAGTTTTGTACTATTATGTAAGATATATATTTAGAAAAAATAATTATAGCTTATGCTATGATCATATAGAAATACAGTAGTTTGTTACTTATTAAATCCAATTTATCCAACTAGAATTATCCGATTTAACAGATAGAACTACTTAACACCACAAATAATCGAAGTGTTTTAAGCGACATTTTCTCTCAAAATCAATATACAATTTATTTTACATCATGCTGTAAAGAAATATCAGCAATCACATTTACAGCACATGAGAAGATGAAATATTTTAGTGCACTTGGCGCTTCACTTTATAAATTTTTCATCAGCTATTGATGAGGGAGTACAAAAACTATTATTCAATGTGTTTGCGAGCAATATTAATTCATTTGTACATACGTGCTATAAGATTTCCTTTCTATACTAAATGCTCCGTAATACTGCCTGAATTTTAAATGCCTTGTTATAAGAACTTTAATTCTGAAAACCAGAAACCCTGAAGCAGATGAACGGAAAAGTTACCAAATGAATGGTTTCATTTTAGTTTTGATCAGTAAATTATTTTAAACCAAAATTAAGGTGGTTTTTTTTGTTAGAAATGTCATTGCCACGGATTACAGTAATTTAACTAGAATTTTTTTTCTCCGTGAAAGAAATTGTGACTAAAAACATCAAAACTTGTTTGACTTCCGGAAAGAACAAAGCGGAGTTTAAAGGGTAACCATAGGTACAAAAGAATTTTCTCAGGGAATTAAACTTGTTTTTCTGGGAATGAAACTTGTTAAACTTCCTTCTGCATCCCTCGCAAGTGAATCAACAAAATTTCGAAAGTGTTTTTGTATCTTCTTAAATAGCCTAATTTCTGTACCATAATGTACATTTTTTTATTTAGATTTTGACTGTGATATTACATTGTATCAAAAGTGGTGATTATGGAACACCCAGTATATATTTGAATATCTCTCTATAATAGAAATCGTTATCGCTACCGTTAATATTGTTTCGGGGGTTCAAATTTAAGTTTCAATTATTTTGCTGCTTAAAAATTAGAAACACTAAATTATGAAGGTGTAACAAAAAGTGTTAAAAGAACACAATGAAAAAAATTGACATTTAAATAATTAGTTCGAGAGTAATTTACTGATATTCTTGTCTTAAAACTTCCACGTGGGCCTCTCTGCAAACTACAGAAATACAGCTACAGAACTAAAATTTGAAGTGCTAAAAGGGCTATATTTGCTTATAAACTTAACAATATCCCATTTTGTTTTTTTGCGATTTTTTTTCTTTAAGTATTGACTATTAAAAAAACGACTAAAACAGACTTTTTACTGTAAAATATGAAAAAATACTCTCAAATGTTACTCAACAGGAAATGAACTATATTTTTAGCCATCATTTATTTAAATGTTGTCTTGAAAATAAGAATTTTTGTTCAAATAAATGATAAAGGCGTCAAATTTGAAAGAAACGGCAAAAAACCCTAGAATATCAGCCACAGCAAAATGCGTAATTCTCACTTTACTGTTAGAAAAAAAAGCACGATGTTTTTTTCAATCAATGTATGCCAAAGCGGCGTTTTCAGCGTAGCGTAAATGGCAACGTTGTTATCATAACATTTTTAGCAATACGTTACGGTAAAGAGGTTAACTACTTGTTGGATTGATAAATGTATTGCTTTCTTTTGTTATTTTTAATTGAATTTATGAAGTTATTCTAATGATTTGGTTAATTGCTTCAATTCCATGAAATGCTTAAATGTTTATTTCATAGAAATGTCCATTGCTAACAAGGACAAATGTACATATTCCAAAATAAATTTCGATTTATTTTAGATGTTTTAATTTCTCACCATATTTATTGTTCTTAAATTTATTTCTAAGTTAAATAAAATACATATTTATATGAATGACCTACCGTTACTCTTTTTAGACAAAGAATAAGTTCCGAAAGCATTATTATTAAAGATTTTTTTATTTTAGTAAGTAAAAAAAAATGACAGAAACATTTTTTTCTTATAATAACAAAAAATTTAGAATAAAAGATTTGGAACTGATTCGAAAAATTTATGAGAAGTATAACTGTGCATGTTAATGATATGAAAAGCGTAATGATGACATAATATTATAATAATGATGTAATGATATAATAATAGTATAATATTATTATAATAATATAATAATGATATAATAATAATACTGCAATATAATAATAATAATAATATTGTAATATAATAATAATAATATTGTAATATAATAATAATAACTATACAATAATGATATAACAATTACACACTTATATAATGTCATATATCCATATATGGCAGTACTTTTACTTTCGTTACTTGTACCGCCGGTACAAGTAAAAAGTACGTACTTTTACTTGTACTTCGTTACTTTTTAAATTTAGTACTTTTACTTGTACTTTCGTTACTTTTTTAGGGAAAAAGTACAAGTATTTGTAACGGAAATGTCGAATGAAATCGTTACTTTTTTCTAAAACTCGGTAAGCTTTCTAAAAAAAAATTTATTAAATTGAAAAAAAAATGCTTAGGTTTTTCTTAATTTATAAAATTAATGTGCAATATACATGCATTCACAGCTAACTTCGTGTTTAAATACCTTCTGTTTCAACTTATACTGCACATTCAATTATTTTTTACTAGCTCAAAGATCACAAAGCTATCTGAAACCCCGTGTTTGCTTTGTTTATGTTTGTGCTTTTAAAACGCGTTTCTAAAGAGTAAAACAATTTTAAATCAATGGTAATTTAAATAAATAAAAATAATAAACTAAAAATTAAAATCAATAGATAAAATTTCTTTTTCGTGCAAATCCATAAAAAGTTTGATATTAAAATTATATTTGATTTTAAAATTATATTATACGATTATATTATAAAATTATATTATAATATTCTTCCGAATTTAAAAATAAATTAATGTCCATAACTTTCGAAATTAAAAATAATTAAATAAATAACAACAATTTTGCAAAAACATTAAAGAACATAAGAATATTATTCAATAAAATTTTAGGTTACTTTGAATTTTCGATTTCCTAAAAATGTACTTTTAAATCGTTACTTTTTTTGTTTAGTACTTGTACTTTTACTTGTACTTTTTACTCGTTACTTTTTTTAAAAATACTTGTACTTTTACTCGTTACTTATTAAAAGTAACGTTGCCATATATGCATATATCACTATAAACAGTTCAAATTGGTTACGGCATTTTTATCTCTTGAGTGTTTTTACTTTTAAAAATTTAGATTTAAATTTTAAGATTTACACCTGGCAACAACTAATCTCTGTCTTATTATTTTTACTTTTATCTCATTTATTGATTTTTTTTGTTGCTATTTTTGATATCAATTCAAACGTGAGCTTATAAAATAAAAATTAACTAAGATTAAGTAAAATTCTGTGGCAATGTTTCTATAATTTTTAAACTGACTAACTGAAAATGTTTTGAATGCATGGTAATTGCCCTTCACAATGGCAAAATTTATTTATCAGATGCACAATTCATTTTCCATAAAATGTAAAAATCACGCAATTCTAGTCTCTCTCTATCTCTCTCTGTCTCTCTCTCAACATTATATGAAAAACTAAAGATAAAACTTGTTTGTCTATATTTATACTGTTATTTCATTTTTTTTTCTATTATATTTGTTTTTTATTATATTCTGTATCCCAATCATCAAAAAAAACATGACACTCTACAAAACGTTTTGCTCAATTTTAGGATTTTCGTATATCAAGAGGCATACTTAATGCTTCCAGGAAACCACGAAGGATATGTTAAACGAAACTAACTTTTAAGTAAAAATTAGTTAGATATGACATAAAATTAATTACTAATTAATTGATTATTAATTAAAATTAATTTATAAATAACTGATTATTAATTAAAATTAATTTATAATTAGCTATTAATTAAATTTTTAAACAAGCACAAAAATGGGATTGATAAACATAAACACAATTTATATCTATTTTTTAACTTTCAACACTTAAAGTTTGAGGGAATCCTATATATGTTAGATATGACCTCATAGAACTAAGAAATCATTATCCTGTTTTTAGACCATCCCGGTAAAGGAACCGAAGTTGCTTTCTTGTTTCTGAAGGGCTGTGGCTTAGCATCTTAATATCACAGTTAATAAGGATTCTATATTAATGTAGAAATTAAAAAAGTAATCTGAAAGAATCAATACCTTATAGGGTAAGTAGGGGAAAGAGGTAATATGTATAACTTTTTTTCCAATCTCTACGCTATTAAATACATTATAGAAATAAATGGTCAAGACTACCAGAATATGGTTACATTTACCGTGTTTCAGACTCTTTGGGAATACCAAATATCTTGGTAATTTTTACCGATGCGCTTTGTTAATTACATTTGATAAAATTAGCAATAAAATGTGGTTTTATAATATGTGATGAAATTTAGTAACTTTGGTAGAATTTGGATAATTTTATCACGATGCCTTTAAACATGACATAAAAACCAGGACTCGAAAAAACTCAAAAATTTTACCCGTCCCCGAGGACGGCTTGTCCAACAACGTACCCGTCCTACTTTGAAACTAACCCGTCTCTTCTAAATAAATAAAAATATTATTTTTTCTTATTTATTACAATCATTTATATAAATTACACATTACACAATGAATTAGTAACTACTAGGATTACATTATACAGTAATAAAAGAAATACTAGGTTACTAATAGTAAAACCTAGTACTTTTATGAAATAATTTATTTCTTTTATGAAATAATTTAAATGACAAAGGTCAAGTTATCTGGAATGTTAATTTATCCGAGGGTACTGCGTTTTTTAAATGTATTAAATATGACGTTTGTCAGTTCCACAATCAAGCCTACGATTTACAGAGGCTTCTACACAGAAATCTGAAAGGGGTTTTCCATTTAGATGAATGTTCATAATTGCGTTTAACGCTTACGTAATGTGTTTTTTTGTAAGTTCATTGCTGAAAAGTCCCTTTCAACTGCTGCAGTACTCCCAGACGGAAAAAACATCAATCCACCATGCGCAGTATGCTGCTGTACGGGATTTCTAAATTAGAGGGTCATTTTAGAAGTGAGGCGCTAGAATCTTGTAAGATAATAAAAATTGAAAGTGTATCACGAGCATTAACGGAAAATGGCCGTCCGCGCGGACGTGTGATTCGAGAACTTCATTGTCCGCGGAAAATTTTTGACCGCCGAAGACGGGCGGACGGGTGGTTTTTCGAGCCCTGATAAAAACCATTCATTCGGTTAAATTTGCTTTTCAGATCTCTATTTTTTCTAAATGTGTGGTAATAAGAACTGTAATTTTGAAAACCAGAATTTCTGGTAAACCGTTACCATATAAACGGAAAAATTGCCAAACAAATGGTTTAAATATCGTATGTTTTGGTTTCAATGACCAGAATTAAAGTTTCTTTTACCAGAAATGTCATTACCAAACAAAACGGTAATTTTACTAGAATTTTTTTCCGTGTGTCCTCGCCGATTTCCAATTTCAAAATGACAAATATTTTTGTATTTTACAGGGTACGAGCCATATGCCTGGCCTGCTTTGTCGTTCAAAATTCTCGAAGGATTTATTGGTTATTTTTTATTCGTGCACTTCAGACGAAAAGAGCTTTCTCTTTTAATATAATGATGTAACATCTTACAAGGATACAGATTTGTAATGAAACTATTTATTTTTGACAAATCATGACTTAAAATGCCAACAAAAGAATGTAAATGTACCAACACTGCCTAATTTACGCCCTCATAAAATTTGGTCGTATGATCAAGCGTAATAAACATAAAATTTTCTGCAATCTTAAAACCATGTTAAGTTGAACCATTATTCTATTGAAATTGTGCCATATTTCTGTTCAAAATGAACCGTGTTTCTGTTCAAATTGAACCATGTTCCTGTTCAAGTTCAGCCATGCTTCTGCTCAAGTAAAACCATGTTCCTGTTCAAATTGAATCATGTTTCTATTCGAGTTGAATCCTGTTTCAGTTCACGTTGAAACATGTTTCTGTTCAAATTGAACCATACTACCACGTAATTAAGATTAAGAAGTATTAAATTGCCAGTTGTACCAAAGTGGAAAGATATCAGGATTCAAATAAATGATCTAAAATTTCTTACGGTGTTTGAATGATGTCTATTTTATTACATACCTTTTCTATGGTTTCAATTGAAATTTAAACTTTCCACCATTTAGTGCGATATATTATATAAAAAGTAATTTTAAATGTATGAAAGCATCTTTAATACATTTTATGTAAAGGTTCATCCTTTCCTAGACTTATTATTACATTACAATGCTTAATGTATATGTTTTATATATGTTTATATATGTTATATATGTGCTTTTAAGATTTTTGTAACCATTGATAATGTAATACTACTTCTGTTATAATCCTAATGAGTTTCCAATCTTATACTGATATAATTTCAGAAGTTATTTTTCATTAAAATGTGCTGAATTTGCTTAATGAGTCATATTTTAATATGCATGAAAATACTCGTATGCTTATTATGTATGTAGTATATGATGTTTATATTTTTACATTTAATTTGTGCCTCCTTATTTATTGTATTGTTAAGTAAAATAAGTAAATTAATGTTATTTATTTCTCTAATTTGTAAATATTAAGATATTGCAATTTTTGAATTTGTGATTATAAACATTTTCGATTTTTTAATTATATTGCTGACACGTAATAATAAGGATTCTATTGATCTTTGATGATCCAAAAATAACTAGACAATAAAATTTATCAATCACTTAACTTCAAAAAATTGACTGAAAAGTTTAAATATACTTAAATGAATTCGTGTAAATTTGTGTAATGTAATTGCTTAAATTCAATAGGCAGTTTGTTTGTTTTTCAATTTTCATATTCATTTAATTATTTTTATAATCATTTGAAAGTTTTCATAATCATTTTATATTATTAATATTTTCAAAATTATTTTAATATTTTCCATTCTCAGTTTTAGTGCTCTTCATAAAAATTTTAATGTTTTCTATTTTCATATCAGTGTTTTTCATAAACATTTTGATGTTTTATATGTTCGTTTCAGTGCTTTCATGTTCATTTTAGCGCTTTTTATGTTTATTTTAGCTTTTCTATGTTCATTTAAGTGTTGTTCATAAACACTTTAATGTTTTTATGCTTATTTTAGTATTTTGCATAATAATTTTAATGTTTCCATAACCATTTCATTATTTTCATAATTTTTTTAATGATTTTTATAATTATTTTTATATTTTTCATTTGAGTCCTTTTCATAATCATTTTAATATTTTTAATGTCAAAGTTAGTGTCTTTCATAATCATTTTAATATTTTTAATGTTAATGTTAGTGTTTTTCATATTCCATTTTATGTTTTTTAATGTTTTTCATAATCATCCAAGAATCAATACATTTAAATTTAGAAGAGTCGTATTCCTCATGTAGACTACAATAATTATGGTAACTCTAAAATAGCTTAGATCTGCGGAATCAAATCCTTTGAACATGCCTTTTAATCAAAATTACATTTCTTTATTCGAAAACTGAAAAACGGAAAAAATTTGAATATTTAAATTTAGTTGACTCCGCTAAGTCAAATGCAAGTTTAAATTTAAAGGGGGCAACCTCAGTTTCAAGTTTTCTTATTTTGCGAGTTTCTCCCGAAAAGTTACAAAATGGTGTCCGAAAAGTATTTAAAAAATTTCAGCGTTTTTAAATGTTCCAAGGCTTTAGAATTTTATCACAAAAATAAAAAATATAATCTATTTAAAATAATTATTTCCAGTTAATAAGAATTTCAAATCTTCATGGTTGGTTCAATTATTTTCAGAACTGTTCATTGATTTTCGTTCTTCTTGAAAAAATTAAATTTATAATACAATTTATAAGAAAAGAACTAGCGAATTTGGTTTGTTTATTTTTTTCTCGTAGAAGAGACATACAATTTAGCTTTCAAGTAGTGCAAAGTTTTGGATTATATTTTCGTGTTTTGTTCCTTCAAAGCAATAAAAAAAACAATTTTTGAAGTAAAAATGATTTGGAAATAATTTTACTCTTAGAATTCAATGAAACAATTAATATTTTTGTAATTGCTGAACTAGCTGTTAAGTTGCAAAATTATATACTATTTGAAAAAAATGTTTTACTTTACTGAGAAAAAAAAAGTAAGAAAAGCAGAACATGATAAAATTGACTGTGTTTCTGGTTCTATGGGAACACCAAAGAGCTCGATAATTTTTTCTAAAGAACTTTGGGAATTATTTCGGTAAAATGAACAATAAAATATAGTTTTATAATATGCAATATTGTAAAATTTTCTAAATAACAACTTAGAGCATAGTATAAAAATCACTCACTCATAACATTTTTCTTCTAGGTTTGTATTTTGTTACCAAAAAAGTTGTAATTAGAACTATAATTTCGGAAACCAAAAGCTTTGGTAGACTATTACCATATCACCGGAAAAATTACCAAACGAATTATTTAAATACCACATAATCAGTTATCATTAATCACAATTATAGGGGTTTTTTTACCAGTAATGTCATTAACTTAAAGTTAAATTTAATCAAAAAATTTTCTTCTTGAATATTTGAATCCAAAAAAATCATACAACATTAATTAAGGATGGGGAGGAATACGGAAAAAGTTTAAACTAATATAAAGTTAATGACAAACTATGTTCGAAAAAAAATTTATAAATACTAATTATAAATATTCTCCACACTCCCAGCAAGTTATCCTAATTTAAAAGCACATAATTCCATAAAAAATAAAAAAAAATACTTCAATTGCACCGTCGGAAAGACGATAGACAAACTCTTTTGATTCAAGAAAAATAATTTGCACCTGAATTTGATCTTCAAACTAAAATTATTTTTAAAACTTCTATGTTCTAATCCTAAGCGCACGCAATCAAACCAGAAGTCTAAAAGCAAATCATTTTTTTAAATTTATAAGTTATTGAATACATATAAAATAAATAAAATTAAATAACTGACATTTCGTAACGTTGTCTCATTGGCCATAATTAATCAAGCTTTAAATTTAAAATGAGAAGTTTTAATTATAATTATTTGCTTCTCTTCTCTTACCCAATCATACAATTTCACTAATCTTACTTTCTTTTTTATTTTTAGGTCAATCCAACAAGCACAAATACTCAACTACGTAGTGTAAATATTAAGAAGAGATTTTTTTCTGTCGTAATTCACAATCCATTATGAAAAGTTGGTTAATTGTAAATTTTAACGACACAAGATCCAGAAGAGGCTTTACTGAAAAAAAAAAACATTATTACTTTATTAATGTTTTGAAATAGAACTATGTTATAAACTAAATATACGGCACAAATAAAATGGAAAGCAAATAAAGTAGGCTTCGGTAGCGCTTACTTGAAGAAGATAAACTCCCTTAGAATATCCACTAGATAAAAATGGGCGTTTAAATTCAAAGAGCACCTCAATCAAATACTTCAAGAACAGGATTCAATGTGTTGAAAAAAACGTCTCAGCACTCCAGAAGGGAAAAATAAAACTTTTGAATGGTTATAGAGACATTTGTGTTACGTCTCCAAAGAGTTTGTCGAAGGCTACCAAGAGATAATATGAGAAATTGAAATACAGCAATGTTGTACTTCCTGAAATACAGAAAGTTTACATACCACAGACCCCATACTGAAACTTTCTATAGTACAAAACTCACACAGAAATATAATATACTACAGAACAGGAATAGCAAGTTTCTATACAACATAACTCGTACAAAAAATATCTATTTTCCACTGCAAAAAGTACCTTGACAAGAACGTACAACTTGTAGCACTTTTTAGGAATCGAGATAGGAGTATGTCTACATCAGAGAAATTACGATTTCTAATAATGTGGAAAATTTGGAAAAGATAAATTTCCTTGCATATAGTAATATCCAATAAACTCATAGCTACTTGATACGGAAAGATTTGAAAAAGGGAACTTAAGAGTGATCAGTCACCAAAAAATATTTTTCAGAAACAAAAGTTCTTCTTTTTTATTAATTATCAAAACTTACGAGAAATAAAAGTTAAAAATTTCCGTAATAATACTCTTCCGTGCTATTACAGAATGCTACGGAATAATACTATTCTGTAATAATTCAGTAATATTGCTTGAAGAGTTTCCTTTACAATTTAGAAAAAAAGACGCGAGTAAAAGGAAAAATTAGTGAATGATTTCACTAAGAAACTATTCCGTCAGAGAATATTAAAATATTTTTCTCTTTAAATTCCGTGATCCACTGTTTCATAATGGAATTACGATCGTGTATCTCCACCGATTTCTCCATTTTCTTCTTTTGTTGGCTACTTTTTCTAAATGTCTTAATTAAGAAGAACCTAATTTGTTTTCTAATAAATCTGACCTTTTCATATCTTCAGCATATTGTACTAAAAGTTAGAACCATGTCCCGAAAACTCATATACTATGAATAACCAAAAAAATATTCGGCTATGACAGGCTCATCGTAAATATGCCCAGTAACATTGCTAAAAACTTAGTTTTACAGATAAGTTTTGTAGCTTTGGTAGTTTTAGTTGCTTAGTTCTGTTAGTTTTTACTAACTTTCTTTTCTAACTTAGTTTAATTTAGTTTTCAAAGAGTTAATAACAATTCGAATCTTTAAGGCAAACCACAATAACAAAATTAAAAATGGAACTCAGAGACTGGTTGATTCTCCCCACCCACCATTGGTACAAGGAAATAAGCCTGGAGCTTCTTTGACCTTCCCCTTTGAAAGGAGAGTCGGCACCACCATCTCCCGCCTAGCTACCGGTCATCTTAAAGGTTTACTATTTTCTAAGGGAACTAAAACCTACCCCCTCTGCCCTAAATGCCATCTACACTGGGCTTCCGCCGATCACATCCTGAACTGTCTTGGTCTTCTCTGGGAAGACATTTACTCTGTTCCTCTTTTGGTATTTGATTTTCTTCAGGTCAACGGGTTCATAGATCTGGTCTGATTTCGTCCGGCCAGAAGAGGATAAGCAACAACAACAACAAAAATGGAACTAAAAAAATTGTTCAATAAAAAAGGAAACATTTAAATTTATCTGTCAATTTTATGAGAGTTACTAAATATTTGACTTGTAATTGTAGCCCCATGCTTATTACCACAAGTTTTAGTAGCTATTGAAACTTTTCTTTACAGAGAATGTTACTGAAACTTTTCAATGTTCATCACAAAAGAGCAGACTCTTATAAACCCATAACACGAAGGGGTTTTTTTTAATCTCAAGACTAGAACTTTTTTTAAAAATTAATCCAAAGATAATAATGTAACAATTAATGTAACATATAATGTCGATATGGTGCAACTATGAGCTTTTAGGATAGTCAGGGCGCATCATAATGAATGAATACAGTAGAGCAATTCGTGACCACGAACGTAAGCAAAAAATTGTATCAAAGGCAAAGGGAGAACACGAGTAAGAAAATAGAAAGAATCATAGGACATCATTAGTATAAAAGGAGCACTAGATGAATAAAATTTAAATTATTACAACAGATGCCATCAATTTTTTGCATGCAAGTAAAAAGCAATGCTTTTCATTTCAGTTTAACATACCAGCAACTTCTTTGAAGATGGCAACAGCTCAGGTGAGCCCTATTACGGGATCCGTTGCAGATTTTCCAGGTTTATAATACTAAGCCCCCACTCTATCTCCACTATCCCCCCCCCCATTTATCTCCAGTACTCTCGTGCAAAGCACCACCTAGTGACTAATGATGACGTATTCTCTCATGGGTTGAAGTCCAATTTTCAATCTTAATATGTGTGCTACCTCGCTTAAAGTTTATCACTACATATTTGAGGCACCCTAAATTTAGTGATTCCAAAGCAATGTTAATTAACAAAATTAAGCATTGTTTTAGTTTATTACTAGCCTTTTTTGAATTTTATTTAACCAATATGCAAGACGTATAAAGAAATAATTTGAATTAACAATAAAATATTCAATACAAATGCATAGTATAATGCTGGAAACGTGAAAAATCTTTTTATATTGTTTAGAAAAAAATATAGTATTCCTGTTCTTTATACAAACAAAATTCGTTGAAATTTGTAAACTGACTTGTTTTGCATTTATGTAATTGATTATTATTTTTAAGATAAGTTATTTTATATTTTTTATATTAGTACTTACTTATGTAAGCTAACTTGTGATTCATAATATATTAAAAAACATTTTCTCTTTTAGAGCTGTTGACTTGTAAAGAATGTGATAAAGTGTTTACAACAAAAGAAGCATTAGAAGCTCACAGACAACGCCACCCTACAAACGACGTCATAAAAAAGCATCGCTGCAATTTCTGTTCCTACTCGACAAAATATTCAAGCCATCTTCGGAAACATATTTTCACCCACACCGGAGAAAGGCCATACAAATGCAACGAGTGTCCAGCTGGTTTTACACAAAATTCACTTCTGCGAAAGCACATGCTGAAACATGCAATCAAGCAAGTAGTCCATAAATGCGATCGTTGCTTCGAGAGTTTCGATGACAAAAGGGCTCTAGAAAGGCATACGAAGATACACAAGAAAGAAGCTAAGAAATACCGATGCTTCTACTGCAGCAAAAAATTTTCTAAATCATCATCTTTGCTGAAGCATGAGAAGAAACATAACCAAGAGGATTCCTCGGAGTCAGAAAAGGAAGAAATTATTTTTAAAAGCAAAACTAATTCCAAGCCTGCCATTGCAAACTCAAAAGTCTCAGTAGCTGCATCTCCAGACAAGTCTATAGCTTCTGCAAAAGAGAACCCCGCTGAGTTGAAAGAGGATTCAGCGCATTGGAAGAAACACAACCAAGACGATTCCTCGGCATCAGGAAAAGTGGAAATTATTTCTAAAAGTAAAACTAAATCAAAGAATTCCACTGCAAACTCAAAAGTAACAGTAGCTGCATCTCTAGACAAGCCTATAGCTTTTGTAAAAGAAAACTCCGTTGAACTGAAAGAGGATTCACCAATCTCTCCAGCACACTGGAAGAAACCCGACCAAGACGATTCCTCAACATCAGAAAAGGAAGAAATTATTCTCATAAGCAAAACTAAATCCAAACCTGCCATTTTAAACTCAAAAGTCTCGACTGTATCTTTAGCTTCTATAAAAGAAAATTCCGTTGAATTGAAAGAGGATTCACCAGTCATTGTTATAAACAGCCCGGAACAGCTTGAAGAAAATCTCTTTGCACCTCAACAAGAGCTACCTCTTAGTTTTATAGAAGTTCCTTCAGTGTCTTCTATGGAAAAATCCTACATGCTTGAAGACACCAAGGAATTCGATTTATCCAAAACTTCCCCACAGACTTACAAGGAGAAATCTCCTACACCACCAAACATAGAACAGTCTTCTACGCATTGGAAGAAGAAAAAAATGTCTTCCCAAAATGTTTGGTCACCTGCGCGAGAAGCTATAGAAAGTAAATCATTTAGTTTCCTCGGGAAAAAAATTTATGATAGGAACCAAACCGTTTCGTCTGAGTTAGCACTAAATTTGTCAAAAAAACCAGGCGGTGATGGAAATTATTAACACTGATAGAGAAACTTGTACAGCATTATAATTGGCTTTCAACTCAATTTTGATTTTATTTTAATCGTTAACAAGCTAAATTATCACTGATTTAATCTTTGTGTTTTGTAGTTTTCCATCATTTTATTTTATAATATTTTATTATTTTATATTATTTTATTTCGAAAGGTGCATTTATTATTTTTAAAAAGGTATAAAGAGATGTTGATTTTTAGTATTTTATCGCAATTGTTATGCTGCGATAAAAAACTGGTAGTGTTGAAAAGTAAAGTTCCAAAGAGTTCTTAACTTGATAGAGAAACTTGTACAGCATCATAATCGTTTTTTAACACAATTTTGATTTCATTTGTATTATTAACAAACTGAAACACCACTGATTAAATCTTTGTGTTTTGTAGTTCTCCATTATTTTATTTTATCATATTTTATTATTTTATATTATTTTATTATTTTTATTAAGTGCATTTATTATTTTTAATAAAGTATAAAGACATTTTGATTTTTAGTATTTTATCACAATTGTTATGCTGATCTTTACAAAAACTGACAGTGTTCAAAAGTGAAGTTTCAAAGAGTTCTTAACTTAAAAACAGCATCATAATCGCTTTTTTACACAATTTTGATTTCATTTGTAATATTAACAAACTAAAACATCACTGATTCAATCTTTGTGTTTTATAGTTTTCCAGCAATTTACTTTATATAATTATTTTAGTTCGAAAAGTGTATTTAATATTTTTGATAAAGAATGTTGATTTTTAAGTTTCTTTTTAATCTAAAGAATATAAAATGTCATATAAAATGCAATTTATTACAATTATTATGACAGTTTTGACAAGGGAAGTTTCAAAGAATTCTTAACTTTTCAAGCTAGGTATTTCGAAATAAATAGTTTTCTTTATTAAAAAGTTTATATAGGTAAAATTCGAAAAATAAAAGAATAAAAGTAATAGATAAAAAAATGTATAAAAATTAGAGCTTCAAGCACAATTTATAGAAATATGCACATATCACATTATCTTTTTAAAATAAAAACCGATTACAATAGCGCAGACTGTTAAGCATATGTTGAATAATCTTGTGTGAGCATCACTGCAAACCTCATCGTATATACCTCTCAGACCATATTCAACAGACAATGCATAAGGTTCCCCATCCACACCACAGACTTTTCTACTCATATCAGCTGCACAAAGTTTACTTTGCACATGCCTAGAAATAAATATCAGAAGCAATATATTTAAATATTTATACTTATGCGTGCAATATATTTATACCTTGTGTTCTATAATCACTGATCTAAATATATATTATTTGAATCAGTTAAGAGAAATAGGTATGATTATTTATTTTTTCCGACCCGTCGGAAGATCGAGTATTTAACTATAATTCTCGACAAATTCATTACGAATTCCAGATATCATTCTTTGCTTTGAAAAACCGTATTGCAGAATGAGCAGTCATTTGAAGCATTTTGTACAATCACTATACTTCTGGTAAATAAAATTGGCGTCGCTTTTTATTTTCACCGAAGTTGAGGAGTACATATATAGCTTTGTAGTTTCCTTGATCATTGTAGTTAGCTCTCTCGCTTTCGCCTGCTAAACACCATTTTTAACTCAGTTATAAGTTGATTCATTTTCATAAAATAATACTAAATTGCTTGTATTTAAGTTGTTGTTGTTAGTTGTTGTTGTTAATTTACGTCGCACTAGAGCTGCACAATGGGCTATTGGCGACGGTCTGGGAAACATCCCGGAGGATGATCCGAAGACATGCCATCACAATTTGCTTGTATTTAAAGCTCTGCTGTAATGAATAGCTCTAAATGTCAGGAGACAATCAAAGATAGTTTTCGACAATGTCTTCAGCTACTTAAGATAATTGTTCTCCTCTGAACCGAAAATTATTTGAAAAAATATTGTTCTTAACCATAAAATAATTATGTTAAAATATTTATAAAGTTCTTATTTAAAATACTCTTAATATTTAAAATATCCTAAAATATCCTCATGATGTAAATATATTTTATTTACATACAAGTGCAAGCTTTCAAGCAATAGCCAAAGTATCACCTTTTTGTTTTTTACTACAACTTCTTAGTGAAACGTACTGGAGTTTGGAAAAAGAAGATACCATGGTGAAAAAAGATATCATGGTAAAGTGGGGAGAGTGGGAAAATTGCATAACCTTGAAAGATCTATTCTATTTACAAAGCCATAGCACATGCAAACGCAACAAATTTAACTGTAATGGCGTCAGTGCACAAACGATTTACCAGAGGCACGATTGAGCATGAGTAGAACTTCGACATTACGAATGAGATATAATGAAACTGTACTTACTTTTTCGGCATACATCGTATATTAAACAAAAACTTGAATTGGAGAAAAAGATTTATATTTGTCTTTACAATAAATTTGTAATCGTATAAAATATTTGATTTTTGACATTAACCTTCGAAGTATTTTTATTGATTGTCTGATAAGAAAAAAATTTTGATTGTGGGGAATCTTGTATTTCTTAATCAACAACAAACAAATCTCTCAAAAATTCTTATTCTGTTAATGATTCTCAAAAGTTCATAAAGTAATTTGAAAATTTAAATATTCTTGAAATCGTTAATATTTTTTTAAAAATAATGAAATTTGAGGAAAAATTAGCCAATAAAATATTTGTCCTGGAAATAAATCTGGAGAGACCAAATCTCTAAGAATACAATGGAGAAAATCTTGCTCAAATAATACAATTTGAACAAAACATATTACAATAAATACTAATTAGTAATTTATGTTTAGAACAGAATTAAACCTCATAAAATTTTGTAAAAGCAGGATTCTATCTGTAATCCAACTCCGTAATTTCAATTCTTAAACATTAATCGCATACCTTACATATCTTGTCTGGTTACAATACTTAACTGGCTAGCTTTAGCAAGATGCCAAACTAAATTTAATCTCAACCTAGTTAATTTAATCCTGCTGAAGCTTAATGTTAAGAAAGATTTATTAACAAATAAACGCTACCATTACCATGGTGTAACAAGACTAATCAATATGCATTGCTACAATACATTTCTACAATATGAATATTGCATAAACGGAAAGAGAAGTTCTAGTAAAATTACCATATTGTATAGTTATGACATTTCTGATAAAAAAAAATAACATAATTTCGATTAATAAAAATTAAAATATACGGTATTCAAACCATTCATTTGGTAATTTTTCTGCTCATATGGTAATGGTTTACCGTAAATTCTTGTTCTTATTACCACACATTAAGTAAAAAATACAATCCTGAAAAGTAAATTTAACCTAGTAAATGGTTTTTATACTATAATCCAAGTTACCATAATGAAATTACCAAATTTTACCACGCTCACCAAATTTTATCAAATGTCATAAAACTCTATTGTTAATTTTACCAGAATCATAATCAAAGTACTTCGGTAAAAATTATCGAGCATTTTGGTGTTCTCATATAACCAGAAACACGGTAAATTTTTGCCATATTCTAGTAGTTTTGACCATGTTTTTATTCGCAGAGTAGAAGTATCTTGGGGTCCATACACAAAATTACGCTCCCCTATACTATTTATTTATTTATTGTTACTTACTTGCATATATTTTCCAAGGTCACGTGCTTATTTTTGTCACTGTGGCCACATTTTTCCAACTGAAATTCTAGACTTCGAAAGCAAGGATGTGAACTCAAGTACTCTATCATGGAAATAAAAAAAATGGGATTAAAGCAATTGTAATATTATTTCTATCTTACGTGACAGATTCGGAAAATAAGTTTCCTCTTCAGTTTAAGAAGAAATGTTTTAATGAAGATGGTGAAGTCAATGAAGAAGAAATGAAGTTAAGTTAGCAATGCTGACGTCACGCAAGCCGTTCAACGCTTCTTCTGAATTCAAAACCCTGATTTTTTTTCCTGGAGGGCTCAAGTAAAAATGATATGACAAATGTTTCAACGTCCTTGATAGTCATGTAGAACAAAAATTACGTCGTAACTTTATATCCCATTAAATTTTTGTCTTTCATACACTACTCTGTCCATAGTCGCTTATGGAAACTTATTTTCAAACCCTCCCTTCTCGTAAAACGGCCATTTTAACACATTCTGCTTAAGATTCTATGTAGGGGTAGCGATATCACAATTGAGTTGCCAATTGTAAGCAGAAATTATTCTAACTATTCAAACACTTAATATTTTTAAAATATTATTGTTAGGTCTTTTATGCATATATTCCAATTGTTTATGTGCAGTAGTGGACAAAATCATTATGAATCAATTATATTCAAAGTTAAAAATGTTAGCTTACTATACATTTTGTTAACACATAAAAAAATCTCCCGATAAAACAAAGATGCAGTTATGACATGACAGAGGTTCCAAAACAAAGCTATTATTCAGAGGTTCCTAAATATTCCATTAAGTATTCCATCGAAATAATAGATATTGAATTGAGGTAACTCTATTGTTATATATACAATTACGTATTATACAATTTATACCCATTTTCATTTTGCAAATAGAATGCTATCTGTGAACAACATAACTTGTAAATGAAATTGAGAAATTTTCTTAGGAAAATCTTAATCTTCAATAAAATAAAAAAAACTGGAGGAGACCCCAATTTTTTTTAAAAATATTGAAATTGATCCCTCCCTGGGAGCCAATTTTGGCATCTTCCGAAAGTATTTGACGCGTGTATTCTTAGATTTTTTTTTATCCGATACGTACACCTCGAGTTATCGTACGTCTTTCAGTACTTTTCTGAAACTCTAAATAGAGAATGATCTGACTTACTATTTAAAAGTCTGAAATTTTAAAACTTTTTGTTATCAAGGATTTCTTTTACGTCTTAAGTTAAACTTAGTGAATCTGACAAAAAAATTGGAGGATTTCGCAAACATGCGTTAGATTCCGTACACTCCCACACGTAAAGCTCCTGCGCGTATTTTTTTTTTTTAATGTCATAAAATACTACGTATTTTGCATTTTATTGACGAGGTTTTACAGAGCTACAAGCACGTAGCTGTTAAGCATTGTTTTCTGTTTTAGCCTACCTTAGAATTAACAGCGTGGAAATTATACAGATAGATCAAGGTGAACAACACAAAGTGAAGATTGGGGATTAAGTATAACAAAATGTTTAAATAAATCATGTTACCACAATCGTTTAATTTAATAAGAATAAATGAATTTCATTCATTTTAATTTAAAATTATGCTTGTTAAATTGCAATAGGTCCATAACTAAATATATATTTTTCTATTACTTCAAAATTTTATATATTTATTTGAATCATACAATTTACGTTAGAAGTATTTTCTTTTTTAACATCTATGTCCATTGTAAATGTTTGTTTTGATTTTGTGATCGAAG